TGAAACTGGTCGGTGGAAGTCATTTTCGTCTGCCAGAAATTTCATACCTGTTTTAGTCATTCAAGCATCTCAATAATTACTTGTATTGCTTGCTGTAGGTATATGTAAGCAAAATAATTTTAATTTCGTAGAAAAATCTGGTCTTGCGACTTTGATAGTGACTCTGTCCGAATAAACCAAATTCATTTGCTTCATATATACGATACAATCGCCACTGTACACAATTTCAACATGATTCAATCTGTACTACATTTTCAGCTGTATATTGCATTTTAGACTGTTTAATATTTTTAAATTCACTTCTGCATAAATTTGTTATAATTTCAAAAATAAATATATAAGCGAAATAGGAAAAATATGCAGAAAAACTGAGGAAGTTGAATCATTTCGGAAAAATTTGAACATTCTATGAGCTCAGTTTTTTTTCTTGCATTCAGAGCATTTGTTTTCTTTTTTGAATTTTGTGAGAATTAAAAAAGTGTTCGGAAATTGGAATATTAATTAAAATATTTACGCTTTTTTTTCGACCTAAATAAGGAGAAAATAATAAAGGGAGTGTTATAATAGTATTTTAGTATGTGAAGAATTATGTTTAATTTTCTTTTTCGATAATGCAAGTCTGTTTTTCCATTCTAATTACTGCACCTGTTGCTCTACCATTCAAATATTTCATTACACTCCGTATATGATGTCCATTTTCGAATTTGTGATGAAATTTCTCTTTTAAAAATAAAAAAGACAACTTAATGTTTGATATATCTTTTTAGCATTACCAATGTTAAAATAATAAATGGAAATGATAAGGATAAAAATTGAAAATAGAGCACAAGTAGCTTAAAATTGAGATTGTCCATTTTGCGTTTAAGAATATTAATTTTTTTTTTATTTTATGAAAAGATTACTGCAATTTAAAAAATTATTACGAAACATATTTTACATTTGATTTATTGAGAATCGTAAATTCTACAATTCGCAATAAAGAAGTGATTGCAGTGACTTATTATGATTATTAAAGAATTGTGATTGTTAATAACAGTTTTTGCTAGTCGAAAAATATGCGCAAAAAGCGAAAATCATTTTGTAGCACTTGATGCGCCTCATTTCAATTCCTATTCATTTTTCAATTAAATTATTAAATTCATTGACTTAAAGTTAGCAAAATTTCAGGTCAGCAATTTACTGAGATGAAGTTAACATTAGTAACATAACAAAATGAAAATATACGCTAGTTTATCTATTTGAGAATTTTGAATTAAATGTCAGCAGTGTTGAAGAGTTACCGTAGGTAATCTTGCCAAAAAATCTCGATCAGAAGAGAGTATCAAACCAAATTGTCAGGATCATAAATTTTCAATATAAAATTTTTGAAATGAGTTTCTTTTTACGATTGTTTTTGTGTCTGTGTATATGTGTTTCCATAACGTAATACATGCGACAATACCGCGTTATTTTCTTCACATTTTCCTATTTCTCTCTCTCTCTTTCTGTTTTAATGTTCATTTCATTAACAATGATTATTGCTGCTCAATGCTGTTGCGTAAATGTACTAAATTAAAAGAGGTTCTCGTTGAGAAAAAAAAAAGAAAAAAAGGAATGTAAATAAAAATGAAGTTATGTAAGAACAGGTCTTACTTCCTATCCTAGCAATTCTATCTTTATTTTAACTTTTATTGTCAGCTTTCCACATTCTCTTCTTTTTCTTCTCAATCTTTGCATTCATTTAATCCTTCACTCTCTCCCTTTCTTGCCTTGAATATTGTATAACAATGACCAGCTGAATTATATCGCCATTATCATAAAAAGAAGAAATCACTTGTACCTTCAACGCATCATTCTTTTCTCGCATCACACAAAGCGTCGAGGAAATTGTCGCCAGATCTCTTGTCTCAGATATTCATACTTCATATGTAATATCAAACTGTTTTATTTATGAATTCTAAAATCATTCTAATTACTTTTGCTCTAAATTTTGGTCAACGATACTCTGCTTGGACATTGCTAAAAGTATTTTTCACAAACTTAACATATCCATTTGTAGGGATAGTAGAAACAAATTGCTATCTTCTAATCGATGAGCTCAAATGTTGTTGAATAATTAGACAATAATGATCTATCTAATGAGGTGAGCAGCATACTAGCATGGATTTCCTAGGCTTACTTGCTATTGTAGTTTAGTTCAGTCGGAATAAGAAAGTGGTCAGATTAGTAGTTCATTTAATTCATTTAATATTGAATTACAATACTATTTAATATTGACTGTTAATAATTGCGGATGAATTGTATGCACATTCCATGATCTGATTTGCATGAGGAATGCATGGTGCTACCAGCAGTATCATTTCTGCGCTACACTACAACATTATTTTAGTACCAGCCAGTGCTACGAAAATATTACTTTTGCCTTATTCAATATTCAGGGAAGGTAAAATTACTTTCGTCTTATTAAATATTCAGGAAAGATAAAAAGAACATTACTCACATTTGACTACTATAACTAAAATTGTTATAACTTATGAAATTACTGTAAGTAGCAGGAAATGGTTGTTAGTTTCAAAAGAATAAATACTTCGTTTATAATTTCATGAACTTATCCGTTACCATAAATCTTCGAAATTGACTTATTTTACTTTTCATAATTTAAGTGAAATTAAGATATTGCTCAGCTCAATACATTTTTATTACTTTCAATGAATTATTCAATTTCTGACATAAATTAGGAGGAAATTCTTCACTGTCATTTTGTGCCTTTCTCTCTTTATCATCTCTGCAGTTCCTGCTTTTTTCCCAATTAAATTTAATAAGCATAGAAGATATAAGTTTAAGATGGTAAGACTATTTTTATGATTTACGCATCATTTAAGACGTTTAAAATCCAAATAATTAAATAATGGGACTATTGGACGTTAAGTCTCTTATGTAATCGGTACATTATCAATTAATTAATGATTTTTATTTCAGAATATTGCCTTTTCTTGCTTTTTTTTTCGTTTCATCACCATTTAGTCAGTGTCATCATCCCTGAGGGCTCATCATTGTAGCAAAAGAGTGTAAGGGCAAAAGATCTGTTATTCGATGAACGCATCTTCCGTACAGCCTTTTTCAAACAAATTTTTTGAGAAAATTTCTGTCAAAATCACATTCTCTAGAAAATGCCAGTTATTTCGAACAATAAATGAATTAGTTAAATAGTAATTTTTATTAAAGTAATAGAAGCAGATGTTATGAAGCAAGAAATTTTGCGAAATTGCGTACTCGAAGCTTCGTTGATCGGTACTCTCTAAAATTTTTGCCGTTTTTCTCGTACCCGATTCGAACAAAATAAACCTGCTCGAACGGATGGATGTATGCGACGCGGAACACAGAAATTAATGCTTATAAAAACCGGTGTCTTAGGCAACCATCATATGCTATGAACCACACTCTCCACCCTCTTATAGAAAATTTAGTTTTTTCAACCATTACGAAAAAAAGCATAAATGTATTTTCTGCTGTACCCATACCAAAAAATTTCCTGCAATATTATCACTTTCTTACTGAGTTTTTTCCCGGAAAAATTTTCAACATCCTACTTATTGTTTTCTTAGTTGCTAACCAATAAAGATATCCCTCAGGCGTTTTTTTATTTGTCCTTGCGCACTGGAACTGGAACCTGTTGACGTAAACAATGATGGATCAGATTTATTACCTCTTTATTCAACTCGATCCATTCTTCCTTTTCCTCTCCAATTATCATTCTATTTGATAGCAGCCGGATTTTGTTGCAGTAAAAATGCAAATAATCCAAAAGTATTTGTACCTTTATAGATAATCAGTCCAAGATTGGTTAATAGCGAATTAGCTGACTTCACTGTTAGCTAAATCTTGATATAATGACCATTTCTGCCCTTTTGATGTTCCAGTTTCAATTTTAAATTTAAAAATCTACGAATAAATCATTTAATACTGGATAAAATTTGAAAATGATTTATCACTCCTCGTATACCATTCATTTATTTTGAATTATAAATCTTATCATATCATTTCTTTTCAATAATCATTTTCCCATCTTTAATTTTAACTTGTCACCGATAAATTTCAATGTTGCGAAGTATCATTATACGTCTCCAAGATTGGCACAAAAAAAACCATTACAGCATACTGATTGATTATAAAACCTGATATGTGAGATTCTCTTACTCTATCTAATACTAATCAGCACTGATAATAATATTCTTACAAAAATGCAAACTATGAAATTTATTAGAATCCATTGCTTCCTATAATTCTCCCCTTATTTCCGCGCAAGAAATGCATAATTACTGGAAGCGAGTAGCTACGAAGGTTATTGCTTTCTTCAACTTCTCAATTATATTTCCTGAATTTCCGCAGAGAACATCACTTTTATATGGTTACTCTTTTTTCTTCGACCTTCGGATAAACTTAATCCCCTTTCCAAAAAAAAAAAAACCAAATAAATTGCAAAAAAGCATCGATATTCATTCATTTTTATCAATAAAAGGTTCTCGATATACTCGGGATCCTATTATCATTCCTTATAATCCATCCATTCAGTGGTTAAACTACTCATAACCATTTTATCTTTTATTGATAAAATTGATTCTAATTATTTAAATTCTACGTATCGTTCCAATTGCTGACTATATTTATCTGTAAGACAATAATAATCGATGAAATGGTGGCATTTGTGGCGCAATTCCGAGATGACATTTCTGTTGATAAAGCCAAAAGCCATTGCATAAAAATGAATTTGCATTGATCGGAGCGCTCTGTGCCACGGTTACATTCCCTTTCTCACTGCATATTTGTATCTCTCGATAGATTCTCTTTTATTCTTATCAGTCGTTTATGTAAACTGATAACTGACAAATCACCTATTAAATGAGTATTCAATAAAATTTCTATTACGAGCGATAAAAATGATGATCAATTGATTGTCCATTTCATATTATTCATTTTAGAATCATCAAACTGTAGCACGAAAATTTCCTCTCTGACATGCAATGCCAGTTAATATACAGGTAGGTGAGTCGGTTACAAATACCGAGATTTCGAATGGTGCTGTTGCTTCAATGGTAGAGGATGATTCTGTCGAACAACATCAACCAGTCAGGTAATTTGTTTGAAGCCAGATAGGAGAAGCTGTTACTTCTTCTATTAGATTGAAATGTGATATCAGAATGGCTAGGCAGCTTGACTCAAAATCAATGAATAGGCCAAATTATTCACTGCGCTTTGATTTCATTACTTTAACAGTATTGATTGTTGGAAAATTCTGCCATTCGGTTCTCTCAAAGCATCTGCAAACTTCAGCGAGAAAGGGACGATGTCTGGGAATATGATGGAATTACATGATTCCTGCTATTCAAGTTGTTCGGAAGAATCGCATAGCTCGTTATCACGAAAACCATCGGATAGTATTGTGAAGGAAATTGCACAACTGAGCGTGACTGATACAGAATCAGGTACAGCAGATACAGTAACTCTCCTTCTCCAGAATATCGAATTCGCAACACGACTCGGATACTCTCTGGAACAATTGGAGAGAGTCTTTGGCAAGCTCGGAATGAATGTCAGACAGGTAGAAAATTTTGAGAAATTCGAATTCGATTGATTTTATTCCTTTTAAATTCATTTCCGACTTTATCTTCTTTGTTATTAATTTCATTCAAACTTTATCATTAATTCTCTCATAAAAAGTATGATTAAAATGATAGACCTTATCTGACATTTTAGTATAGTTTTAATAAATTTGGAAGTTTTTTTGTTAGCCGAATGAATGGTATGAATGTTTGCAAAAGAGTCTTCCCATCCAGATTACTACCCATTTTAATTAGGCTAATTTCGGTTTAGTTAGACAGATAAGGATTCCAATTTGGTTAGATTGAAAAAACGGATTAAGATCGAGTTCAAATTCATTATTTAAGTTTTTCTAAAGTTAATGATTGTTAACAATTTGCTTTAACATTCGTTCAAAAAATCACGCAAACGTATTGTTTGCCCAATGTTTGCGTTGCTTCGGAACCAAAAGGAATAGTTTGAAAGTGAAATTTCCGATGTAAGAAATAAACAGAAAAGAGGCAAATTTTTTCCCTTTTACTTCAGTTGGCAATATTTTATCACATTTGCGGTAAAATGAAAAGCATGTCGATGATGCAACTTGTTGAAAGCAATTTCGTATTTAATTCAGTGACTTTTAACACCCTCTGTCTGTATTCCTTGCATTCAAACAAGCCATTTCACAGTTTTTTTTTCTTCTCAAGCTAAACTTCATCATATTGAGTTATAAGATTATTATATGTTTAAACATCATCCATAATAACTCCTTCCGGAATATGAAAGTTTGGTGCTGAAGGTTGCATTCCAGTTCGGGAGATGAATCTTACAGAGATTGTTAGGCACTAGCATTTTATTAGTATCACCTGGAAAGTTGATATTTTGGATAAAGCTATATGGTAAACAAAAGGATAACTTGTTATCAAAGAGATCAGTAACCTTTCGCCATAAGTTATCAATTTATTTGAAGTGATATATGTGTAAGAGAATAATTCTGATACCAATTTGCTTGTCAAATGAAGAAAAAAAGTAGATTAACGATAATTGCATTCCAATCAATTTTCTTAAAGGTCAAAGTTTGGAATAATTTTAGAAGCACAATTATTTAATGCTATTTTAATTCACTTAGAGATGAAGTTTCAGGAGCAGATACTTGATGAGTTGATTAAGCTTAGACCTGAAATGATGGATCGAAATTCGAAAGTGACTGAAAGTGGGCCACCAAGCACAGTTGCCACAGAACTTCGCAGTATCGTTATCGATGGTTCCAATATCGCTATGACGTTTGTTTCATTCACTTTTCAGGCACCTCATTTGAACACCTATTTTTAATTTACATTCAGACTTATTAGCTAATATTAACTGAACCACTGAAACCAAACTAGGTAATTGTAAATATTTGAAATGTACTTAAATATAAAATGATGAATATGAATAGATAATTGTGAAATTGATTCTTTACTAAACGATTTTAATACTTCTTTCCAGCATTGAAATCTGAACTTACCAATAATCATCTTCTAGTCGGTACTGAATTATATTGAAATGACATTTTTAGACCTAATATAATTAATTCATTTCCTATTTAAACATTTGAGATTGGATAAATTTTTTTTTATATTTGTTATATTCAAAGAATATCTCCGGAAACACAACAAGTGGAAATTTGAATTATATTTCATAGAAATTTTTATAAAAAGAAAATAGCGAAAAAGAAATTGAAATCAAATATAAATTAATAATAATTCCTCCCACTTTTGTTTATTTGCTCGTATTTTCTGATTTAATTCGTTAGCACAGACAAAGATCAGTAACTTGATTATTAATAAATTAATTAAAAGTGCAACGATTATTACTTTCATTTTTGATCAACTCTGTATGAATATCTTTCTTCCTTTTCATCTTTATTTTACAAAAGGAAAATATTCTCACAGTTTTTCGCACTTTCTTGTTTTATTTTCAATAATTGAATATCGTTTCCGTATGCAATTTAGAAATGTCAAAAATTAATATGCATTAAAATCAAAACAATTAATATACGTTCAAATCAAATATTTATTCACTAACTGATTTTCTGTCAGCTTATCATTTTTTATTCTTCCAACAATGCTATCAATTTTAGAATGAGCATTTCGAAATAAATTCATATGAAATTCAATACGAAATCATCGGGAAAATTTTATCTTTTTAACATTATCAATTTATTAGTGAAATAGTGAAATAAAAGTTATATAAGCATAAATTACGGAAAAAATTTTTAGACATGGCCGCAAGGAAGTATTTTCTTGCCGTGGTATACGTGAATGTGTGCAGTTTTTCCATAATCGTGGTCATACGGATATAATTGTTTTCGTTCCACAATTTCGACGTGAAACAGCCCGTTCAGATTGTCCAATTACCGATCAATACATATTATTCGAATTAGAAAAAGAAAATATTTTAGTAAGTGTTATCTTTTCTTATTTCATTCTCTTCCATTGAATGGTGATAAAGGAAACTGTTAAACTGTCACTTGATCTTGAAATTCCAAATAATTGTAAAGGAGAGGGTTTGTCTATTCGAGAAAGAATCCGGTTTTCTTTTGTCATCTTAAAAAAATACTGAAATTTACAACCTCTCATTAAAATCTTGTTCGATTCTTTGCAAATTATTTTAAAAGTCTCAAGGTTGAGTCTAAAAAGTTTCGACAAAGGTCAAAGAGGATATAGTGATGATAATTCTGACATTACTATTCTTAACTGAACTGATTAAATGAATGTGAAAGTAATTTATAGGTATGGACACCATCGCGTCGCATTAATGGACGTCGAATTGTATGTCATGATGACCGGTATATTTTGAAAACAGCGGAAGAAAAGGATGCGGTAATAGTAAGTAATGACGAGTACCGAGATTTAATCAGAGAAAATCCACAATATCGTGCATTAGTCGATGAAAGGCTTTTAATGTATTCATTCGTTGATGGAAGGTGTGATTTTATTCAGAAATTTCGAATATTATCTTCATAGGTGATCATTTTGTGATCAGTATAATAGTCATTTTCTGGATAGTAATGGTTTTAAAGTTTTAATGGACAGAACTTCAAATTAGAATGACCTGTGCAGCATTCTCGATGAATTCATTACAAAGACGAGTATTTGAATGTAAAATGTTTGTGACATGATATTTTTCTAATTACTTCTTTTCAATTTATTTTATTATAATTGTTTCAGAATTTTAATTTTCTTATCATTTTCATTAATCGTTTCTTTTTATCAAATATATTTTTCTCGAGTGAAATTTTATTTGAAAATTCTTTAGTGCAATATTTCTCAATGAAATCTTCTGAATTCCAACTAAGTTTGTGTTAGGAAGTAATATCTTAGGCTTCTATTCGTGTAATATTTATGCAACAAAGTATGATATCTTTGCTTTCCAAACTTCGAAAAATTTTTTGACTTGTTTTTGCAAGGTTTATGCCACCCGATGATCCACTTGGAAGACATGGACCAAAGTTAGCGCAATTCTTGACGAAGGGAAATCGACAATCTCAATCTAAAATTTGTCCATATGCAAGGAGATGCACTTACGGGAATAAATGCAAGTGAGATTTGATGCGAAATTATTGCAGAATTTTAGTTTGTAAGAAATTGGAAAAGTTTGAAATTTCGAAAAAGTTAATTTCGTAAATTAAAAAAAGAAATTAGAAGTGTTAATTTTGAATTTCTTATTTAATTATTGTGAAATTTAAATAAGTATCTCATTTTTCTTGAGATATTACCATCCGGAAAGACCGAACGGTATTCATATCAGTGTTACGGATCGATTGATGAAAGAAAAACAACGAAGACAGTTTCTTTCTAACTGTTTGTCCTTTTGAAATGAACTTCATTTGCTTTACCTTTCTTTCCAGATATTTTTCTTAGAAAAAAAACTTCATTCTTTTTATAAATTAGTAATCTTTCAAAAAGTTTTAAGTTAAAATTAGGATTTTAATTCTAGAGGTACAAAAGAAATTAAGATTTAACGAGTGAGTAGTAATCTTAAACTTTTATTTCACAGAAATTTTAAAATACTTAAAATTTCTGTCTTCGACATTTCAGCTATAACTGATGGGTTGTCTAAGTAAAATTTATGCTTAATAATACGTTTATAGTTAGGAATAACTGTTCGTTCTATTCTCGAGGATAGTCAATATTTCAAATTAAACATGAACATTTTCAGCCATATCTCGACCAATGGTAATTCCTAATGAACGTATCGATCATCCAGCAATTGCTCGAACACAAAGCTTAAAAATACCAATTTCAAAGAAAACAATTGAATATGACGATAATAAAGTAAGTTATTTCAAATTTTTTTGGTACATTAACTTTTTATAATTCAATTTGGGATTAAGGGAATTTAAATTTTAGAGTTTGATACGGAATTCATTGAATTATCATCAGAAGGAAGCAAAAGAATCCTTACCTTCTCTGTCGCAATCTCAACTTCCTATTTCTAGCACCCAACAAAAAACGACAACTTTACTTCTTCAGAATCCCCCATTATCACTACATCAAATTCGAGATCAACACTGCCCCACCTTATCAAATCATTCATCGAAAGTGATCAACTCAAAATCTTTCTTACCTTTAACGCCTATAATCACACGTAATTCATCTGCAACAAATATTACTTCTCACTGTTACCTATCTTATCCATATATCGGTTTACCGTATCCGAATGGTATGTTTCTTTTAAATTGTTTTCCCTGACATTGAAAAAAGCTTTGTTGAAAAATAGAGTATATCCTTTTAGAAAATGTTGAAAAATTTTACATTTCTTAAAAAATTCAGAGCTTGCTAAATTCCATTGTCTACATAATTAAATTATTCACCTACTATGAATAATTTTTTCCAAAATTTTATTTAATGTTAATTAATTACTGCCTGTTCTGTTTTCTTTTCACTGTTTAAGTTCAATCAAGTGATTGGAAATTAATTAAGTTGCTGAATTTTTATTGATCATTATTTGTTGTTATTTTTCATATGAAATTTGATTCAGAAAAATCATTTACATAATGAAACATAGTGGGAATTCTTCTCTTCAGCTTCAATCAAGAATAAAATTACTATTCATTTAAGACTTGATGTCTCCAATTATACTTGGTAAGAGCTAATGATTAAATTGATTGGAGGCCATTTCAGAAGGTTTATTTCAAAATTTCATATTACATATCTTTTCAAATGAGATGAAATAATGTAAAGTCATGCCCATTTATTGCTTAACGGGAGTTCTTTTTAGATCCTTTAAGATTTAGAATTTCAATTGATTTGAAATGTCACAATAGCATATTTCCAGGTAACGAATCATGTCCCGATTTATGTGATGGCTTATCGTCATCGCAGTGTTTCATTCCAAATTCGGGTACCTTAAGCGATGCATATGGAATGCAAACTCTCAGATCTTCACATTTGTTTACTCCATCGACAGTTGTTTGGAGCGAATCGAAATTAAATCTAATAAGGCAAATAATTTTCTTATTTCATATTAAAAGTTCAAAAAATGTTAATTTAAATTGTTATGTAGAGCATAGAAACATCTTTGTCCGATCATGTCGCTTTAATCTGTATTTGAAAAATTTTGAGTTTTAAAGGATTTCGAGAAATTTAAAATTTATCACTTCTAAACTTGTGCATGTAATATTTCCAGATCACCATTTGAATCGACTTATCCGACGACCAAGGACGAACGGCATCGGTTGCAAAATATATTATGTCAGTTGTTTCCGGAACAAATCGTCTTAACCGTAATGGAAGCATTTCCAGATGAAAGCAACCCACAAGAGCTTTGTCCACGAATCATAGCAGAACTTCAGAAATATCGTGGTAATACATAAAATATCACATCTCTCTGGTTAGCTTCCGCATAAAAAGTGAGGCAAACCTTAGCGCTCCCAGATTAGAGCTAAGATTTTATTTTTCAAAATAAATAAATCTTAGCTTTTATTTTATGATACGACTGATTGAACTCTCACGAAGATATTTAGATCTTGCTTGAATCATCTCTTTCATATATCATTTCAAACCCTGGAAATGATCAAGATGATTATGGTTTTTAAAAAATTCGTCTTCGAGACTTTCTGTACTTTTTGCAGGTCGTTAATTAATGAATCACAATGATTTGTAAACAAGAACTTTCCCACCATCATCATCGATCTGTTAGTATTAAATAAACTTTTGAGTAAGTGGGAAATCTCTAATACGAAGGCATGATATCATTATAGATTATTTCTAGCGATCACTGTAAACAAATCTTTATTTACTCATTTCTGATGAAATTATTTAATTTAGTTATCCACATCATCTATGACCATCTTCATCGTCGCTTCGATGTTCTGTATAGTCAATTTTTTGACTGAATTACGCCATCTAATATTCACCAAATGCTTCTGCTTTGTGACATGGCAAGATATATCAAATATACTGACATTTCACTCTGTCCATTTCAATTATGCAAATAAATTAATAAGCTTCTGAATGAAACCAATGTAAAGAAGTTTCCTGGGATATTCATGCGCAGAATAGTCTCAAATGATATAACCTCAGGTCTTCTAAATCTGAGACGTTGCGAATCTTTTTCATTAGATTCGCTTGAAATTTCAACATTAAAATCTCTGTTACATACATATTACTAAGAAGAGATGAAATGGCAAATTAATGTACGACTTTAACATTGAAGATTTTTTTATATTTGTCAGTCAATTCAATGACTCCACACGACATATTATATTCATATTGTAAAAACATTAGAAATGAATAAATATAATTACTTAGAAATAATGAAATTAAAGCTTCCAAGGAAAATAATAACAGATATTTCCCAAAATTCTATACAGTAGCACCCGTAAGAAAAAAACAAATGCTTTCTTTTGCAATGGACATGTACAAAAAAAATTAAAAATAATAAAAGGCAAACTTTTCTAAAACAAACCTTGAAAACTGTTTTGATGGCAGTTTACTCACTATTCCTTCCTTACCAAATATCAGCCAATACCATTAATGGGAAAGGTAACAGTTTTATCAACTATCAAGCGATAATGTCATTACTGTCCATTGCAATTATTAAATAAAGAATAAAAACAATTAATCTGAAGTTGGCATAAGACTAGGCTTTCACAACAAATAACTGTAGTACAAAAATGCAATCAGGGTTTATGAAATGAAAACAGTTTATACCTCTCTCGGAAAATATGATAATTTTTGTTTTTCCTCTCAAGATATGGAAAGACCAAAGACCATATTTCAAACTTTCAATCAACTCAAATGCAAATAGTGCACTGACTAAGGCCACTGAATTGAATGATGCCTGGAAAATTATACTTTGAAACAATAAATGACTATTGCAATTACTCATATTGCATTAGAATTGAAAACAAACGAAAACTAGTCCAAATCAAGTGTATACCCTATCACCACTGATGAGTAATTGAGAAATTTTACAGATATAAAATAAACATCAGTTTCAAGAAAAATTCATGGAGATAGAATCCGAATATCAACAATTTCCTTAAGATCACAGCACAAGCTACCCCAACTCTTCACGTTTATTTCATCAAAAAAATATATTAGTGAAAAACTAGGTCAATGCACGACGGAATTCATCAATTTCCCTGATACTTGATGCATACCTGCCGAAACTTTGAAACAGCGAAACAACTTCATTCCTGAAACAAAAACAGAAATAAATAATTTCTTAAAAGGAATAAAAGCAAATCACAAAAGTTCCTACAAACAAAAAACAGAGTAGTGATGATGGTGAAAGCATATTTAGTGGAAAAACTAGTACTAATAAGGAAGTAAAAGTTTTTAAATAAAAAATGGTAATGAGTCAAAACCATGTTACAATTTATTCTCGGCTGTAGATTAAAAAGTTTTGCATCCATAAATTGAATGTTGAAAGAAATACGAAATCGGAAAATAAAGCTTAAATAAATTTACGAATCGCGTAAGAAAAACTATACCTTGTTAATTGGAAAGGTGGATAGACAGTGCCATCTTGAGTTTTATAATGAGAAGTTGGTAAATCTGAAAATAAAATCTTAAGTGCTGTGCCCATCCCATGTGTCTGTAACTTTCCCCACAAACGACATTTATCACAGCTAACACAATCCATTATTCGTGAAATGTTGAAAAAATGTTGACGAAATTCTTCACGCAGTTCTCGAGCCGTTGCTTCAACACCCTATAAACAAGAAAATAGAAACTTTTAATCAAAGTAAAATTTTATGCAACTTAAACTGTAGTAGACAAAGCTATTTCATGTGTTTTGAATTAGTTAAATCAAACCAAAACAACATGGGAGATCCGAAAATTTTAGCAGGGTTTTGATAGAACAGTTCTATTTTTCTCTGAAATTTCCATTAACATATTTGAAACTTACTGTGAACATTTCAGTCTCGTCAAAAGGGTCATTAAATTTTTTCAAAGTATTCATTAATTCTTCTACTGTTTTGCGTGTTTCTGCATCATCCTAGAATAAATAATTTTCAAATCATATAAATTAACGAATCGTCCTGGAACATCTTTTAACTATATGCTTCAGAAAAAAAGATTCAATCACAATCCGAAAAAAAAAACCTTTGGATTCCCAGTGTAAAATAATTCCTTGCGAAAATAAGGTGCTGCTTTTACGAGCGCTCTCAGTTCAAGAAGATAGACAAAATAAATATTTTTCAGCCTCTGCGGTCCTTCAGGTGTCCACTTTGTTCCAAAACGATTTTTGAAAAGTTCCGTATTTCTGAACCAAGTTCCATCTCCAAAACCAATAGGATCTACAGGGAAAGAAAATTAAAGAATTAATGAATTGGAACCGTTCTATGATCTATGATCGTCCTATGATCGTTCCTTACCAACATCTATATCATTGCAACTCTGCTCGAAATATGAAAGTTATTTTTGGAAACTTTCGTATTTTTGAACCAAATATAAGGCATATTTATTATTTGATAATTTCATCTTAATCAAAATATCCGTCTTTTTTACTTCCATGTTTTAATGGCAAGTTACATGCTGAATGAGCTAACAGTGTCTTGAAGTATTTCAATAAATATGCCTTATATAGATCACAAATCTTAACACACTGAAATGTGAAACAGATCTATTAGTTTCAAAGTATAACAACTTAAATTAAACATTGTTACTGTACGCTTGTAAATGAAATCAATGTAAGTCAAAGGTATTGCTGTTTTACAGCTTATAAAAACTTTACTTGATTTAAAACTGTTAGAGGCGATTGATATAGTAATCGCAGAATGTAGACCCGAAATTAGACGATAGAAAACGCGTTTTTCAAAGCATAATCCTGCAAAAATTTTTGAAGAGTTTTGCATCAATAACAAACAGCAAATAGGATTAACCAACAAATATATATTTCTACTTAGATAAAAAGAGCACGATAAGTGTGTGTACTCAAAGAAATCAAGTACGATATCTGACAACAAAAATATATGACACTTAAACTCACCAAAGGAATTAGGATGAATAAGAAAATTTTTGTCAAATTTCATATTTGGTCTGAAAAAAGAAATTTTAATTATTACATAGAAGCAAATAATGAATGAGTGCAGCTATTTTTACATCACTCAGTTAAATTTGTCTTTGATGTAAATTACTAGTTTACTATATATGTGAATGATCACCTACATAAATAACTTTTTAGTGAACTCTCAAAGCTTAACCCAACGTTTTGAAAAGAAAAAAACTGTCCACTGTTCAGTAATCGTTATAATGTGCTAGATTGTGATATAACAAGAAGTAATTCAAGTTGCATTTTTCATCAAATAGTAGTCGATCAACAGGCTTACAATACAACATATGACTGTGCTACAAAACTTCGTGTTTCATCGAAAAATTCAATTTTTTAACTAACTTGAAACAATTCTCTTGATAAATACAAGTCCACACTTTCTGTGCGCTATCACCTTTGTAACCCGTGTACCGTTCAGGATTTCTGGATAAGTCGACATAATGCATATCTGCAGATCCTTCATCTAAAATAAAGAACGGATATTTCTCTAAGATAATATCAATATTGGTAAAATTCTATCAGTAAACAATATTCTCTGGAGATCTACAATTAAAACGAAGAAAATCCTTTAGCATATGATATTTCCAGCCATAAAATTTACATGAAAACACTTACGCAAAAGCTTGAATTTTCGAAAAGCATTCATAATCACCTGCAGTAGAAAGGACTGAAAAAGACTTTCAACAAGTTCCTAATGCAAACCTTCGAAGTCACAAAATTTATCTTCATTTTCGTCATGCCAATCCATGTCATTCAGTTGTCGGCGGTCCCCTTCCGTTAGAGTCGTATCCAATGGATCGAATGCATTACTTTCTTCTTTTCCGCAAGTTGAATCAATTTCACCAATCTGAGTTATAACAGAATCATTTTTCAAAGAAGTTCGATTGAGTTCAGAACGAACCACAGATATACTAGCTGGTTGTTTCAAGCCTGATGGAACTTCATCGTCACAGTAGCCAATGCCACATTCCTTGCTCAAGCATTGTCGATCATCTGGCCAAAATGGACATGTTTTTTCCATATTAATCTAAAAAAATAAAATCCTCCAAAAGTAATATTCAAAGAGCAGTCTCTACACTCTGCGACATGAATACTACCCTCACAAACACAAACAGATATTTAGCTAGTAAAATCTAACTTGTTCACATTTCTTTTATTATCTGCTTTTTTTTACTCCAACACCTTTTTTCCCTTCTCGTTCATATTTAAAAAAAGAAAAAGATGAAATAATTTTCAAGATGTAAATCGAAAGCAACTCACTTTATAAAATCTGAAAAAATCACGAGATAGGAGCTTCTGCAATATAGGAAAAACTTCATAGTTGTTAAAATCATCGATACTTTCTGTTGTACATCTGAAATGAGTTTAACATTGTTCATATCGAGATATAACCTTTAACCTAAGATAGTTGCAAACAAAGTTTTAAAATAAGTGAGACTGATATATCACTTTAATAATTATCGTAAATGCAAATTGCTCACGCAATATATTATAATGATGAAATTCAAGTTAACTGAAATAAATTTGGCCAAATAATTTTTAGAAGAGACTAACCGACAGTCATCGATGACTCCTTGTAATTTGCAGAAGCATTCCTTGTCGGGCTCAAACTGTGCCCAAACTTTACGTTCCAACACACAAAACAGTAATAATACAAAAGTAACTATTAATACCACGAATGAACAATTTCGTTTTGCGACAGTCATTTATTAGTGATGATGTCGAATTATCATTTAATCCACACATGAAAAATAAATATTACGCAGATTTGATCAAGGCTTGTGATATCGTTGTAAAGTACGTGGAAATAATAACGAAAAATATATTCTTGACAGAAAATTCCCTATTCGATGAAATTGTCAACCATAACCTATCAACCATGACCTATCATGGTTTGACAGTTTCATTAGACAGGCATTAATAGGAGTAGAAAGACAAAGTAATACAAATAATTTATCATTGTAATGATCCATTTTCATGAATTTTATCTCTATTATAAAACAAACATGAAGTATTCCGAAGAAAAAACTCCAATTCTATCAATTCAGAATCTGCAATGATATTCCTCTATCATCCATTTCATTTCAAAACATGAATTATCGTTTGGTGGACATACTGTATACTTACCGAATCATATTCTACCATACAATAGAATACAATAGAACTGCTCATACCGAGTGAATTCCATAATCAACGAGATTCGTTTATTGCTAAGTACACTTAATTAATAGATATATTTATTTCCTCCCCCTCTATCTATCCTCTCAGCACATACTCCCTTTTATAGTCTCTAAGTATTGTCCTATACCATGAATTTTACAATTTCGTATCTCTTTGTCATCTCTTTGTCCACTGTTTTCTTTTCGCATACACTCGCTGTCTCAGTTTCAGCGCGTGGGCTCCTTGAAGGAAAGAAGTATGTGATGAATGACAGACGAAGTGGAGGAGTGCAGAAGGTCATGGTGTAACAGGCCTGAATGTTCAGAAATCAGGACGGCAGCCAATCTAAACTCAATCGGGCAAGTTTTATTGCGGAATAGGTATAACATTTGACCAAAATGATGTAATATTTGAAAATATTTTTGAAACAAAAAAAAAAACAAACAATACTAAAATGACTAGAGATGGTGTAACAAAAGAGAAAGAAACAAAGAGTATGGGAAAGATTAGGAGAGGAGAGAATAAACAATTATAAGTGGACCGATAAATTTAATAAGGCCACGTCATCGAACTTCAATGCTCCTCCCATCGGATTTAAATCATTAACAACAAATAGAGCAGTTACCGGATAGCTCAATGAATGAATGAGAAAGAGAGAGTGAAATGATAATGGATAACAGGCAGAGGGATCAATTTACTTTAAATTATATCCCGAATTTCGACACAAACAATGGTATCGTAAATAAATTTCATCGAGAAAAGAAATAAGATTATTCAGGTATTCTTTGTTATGCACAATAATTGTTTTGTTGTTGAGTTGCTGTGTTGAAAATAAATATCGAGTTTTAAAAGTCAACATTTAAAGAGTAATTTTATATCCGACAAATCTGAAAAAAAGTCAACAACTAGAATTTGTTTATTTTCAAAGTGTTACGTAATACATAGATTTATTTTATTTTTTTAGCTTAAATATAATTACCAAGAAATTCATGATATATCAAAAGTGAACTTACATGACAATATCTTTCGATATTTAAATCCCAAATAAGATATAAAAATTTTAGTTCTTAATCTTTATTTTTTTATTTAGAATTTAAATAAACTAATATAAAAAATTAATAAAAAACCAACAAAAAGAACTAATAAAAATGGTATTTAATGGCTGAAAATTTTATTTGAACAATTTCTAATCGTACAGCAAAATCTCTTTAAACATTAAATCATTCAAATTTTATGTGAAATTCGCTGTCCGGTTAAGAATTGTTCAAGCAAAACTTTAAGCTATTAAATCCAATTTTATCAGTTCTTTTTGTTGGTTCTTTTACTAGTTTTTTATTAATTTTTTTTAATATTAATTTATTTAGATTCCAAATGAAAAAATAAATTGCATCCTTTTATTTGTTTTTTTCTTTATTCTTTAATGCTAATAATACAATCGCAATGAAATTTGTCGATTATTCTGCTTGTAAAAACATACACAATATCCTATCCTGTAATGAATCATGAAGGGCACTTTAAGACATTTTTTTCATTTCATCAGTTTAGTTTCTACTTCCGGCTCTTTAAAACCAAATGTGATACTAATTGATGATTAAATCCATTGAATTATAAAAAAAATTAAGCGGTGTTTTTGCCTCCTCAAAAAATTTTTCACTTTTTATAATTCCAAATGGAACGTTATAGAAGTTTTCCCAAATAGAACAATGAAATAGCAACAAATTTTCAAATGAACAATAGTGAGCATAGAGTTTCTTCCTTTTTTTGATATAACATTTATAAAAACGTTTTTTATAGATCATATCTGTCAGGAAAAGAATTTAAATAATCAAAAATTCCACTTTCTTAACAATCATATTCCCCTCGAAGAACTTTCCATGAAGCAAACTTCGATAGCATTCATTTTTTCACATCAATGTTATCACTTGACAAAAAGAAACTGATAGAATGATTCCTTACATCGCTTCTCATTAAGATCATCTAAATATTAATTTTGCCCTTTATTCCTGATTTACTTTACTTGCATTCCTTCTCTTCGATTTTTGATCAAATTCTTTTTTCCAGTTAATAAGCATTTTTGCAAACGACAGCTCTATTGAAGAAGAAAAAAAGCGACAAAAAATGATCAAACAGCAAAAAAGGAAGAGAAGTGATAAAAGTTTCAATTTTTTTAATATTAAATATTAATTCAAAAACAAACTGATCTAAATCTTTTAGAACTTAAAAATTATTCACAGCTATCACAGTAAGGAGTTTTATTGCGGTCTTATGATTTCGACATTTACGACAGTCTGGTAATGAGCAATTATTATAATATTTAAATTTATTATACATCAGTGAAATACAACTGTTGTATAATATGTTTTTACTTCACCTGAAATTTGTATATTTTATTTTATTGTATTTCACTGATGTATAATATGTATATCAAAATGTATATTTCATGTGTTGTGAATGTTCATACGTATTTCCCAAACTATTATTTACACTTCAAATTTGTTTAGGGCACACCGTATTTTAATCTCCTCTTTACTCCCTACTTATTTTAACTTTTTTTCTGATTCAAGTATGTCCGGGAAATATTGCTGTAGAATATATTTTGATGCCAAGCATTTTAATTTTAAGCACACTCAGATGATTTATATGAGGAAAAAATTGGACTTCACTGATTTTAAAATAAAGTGGAATGGACCTTCAGTTTTAAAATGAATTGATCTCACTCACCTTTTTGAATTCTCGATATTTTAATCCGGATTTAAAAATCCTTATACTTATATGTTTTTGCTTCACTTGAAATTTGTATATTTTATTGATGTACAGCAATTGTATTTCACTGATGTATAATATGTGTCGAAGTCTCGCAAAAAAAAACGAGCCTGTTTCGGAATTTGATAAAAGAGAGTTATAATAAAAAAAGGACAACTCCATAAAAAAAACTGACAGCGAAAGCAATAACAAGATGCACTTCTCCACGGAAATAAATCAGTTGTTTTCTAACCGGATGACAAACTTCTGTTCCGACGGCTGTAAGATTAGTTGTGAGTCAAGTAGAAAAACGTGTGACTATGAAGATTGACATCTTACATAAGGTAGCATAATATCATGAGCTCAGAGAATTACCTCAAGAAATTTCGGTAAAACGGATAAACCTGAAAGAAAGAAGGATGACTGAGAGTCAGATTTGTAGGTAGTTTTGTTTATATCTCTAACAGTTCACTAATATAACCGATTAGCATATCACTTTAGCAGCATGAACAATAAGTTAGCCAAGCGGCATAGTGAACCAGTGGAAAACTGACAAAAGAAACTAAAGATGAGATAGTTATTCAGACGACTTCGATTGCAAACTGAAAGATGTCACAGTGTTATGTGAAACGGATTTAAGTAAAAATTATGTAGATAATTAACATAATTAAGTATGTATATTTTTTACTAAGTAAAATTTATTCTGTTTTTGATTTTATTATTGTAACTTATTAATTCTTCACTGTCAATTAGTCTATTGAAAATATTAAGAAAAGAGAAATTTGAAAAATTTTCGAAATGTTAAGAAAATTTCAACTAATGAAATCAACAGAATATTCTTACTTTTGATTATAAATTGATTCTACTTGATTATAAATTATTAAGTGAAATGAGTGAACAAACAATTTGTAAAAGTTTTAAATTATTTTTAGAAAATAATCAAGAAACAGTGATATGAATTATAATGCAAAAAAAAAGTTCAAATTAACATGTTCAGCTCCTAAAACAACAAGATTTCTTAACTTTTTGATCGTTAAAGAGATCGAGATTATTAGCGGTGTTCAACTGCATCGATCCTGCATTTTTTTCACAATTTTGACGTTCTAGCAAATGCTCTGCAATAGCAATAATTACTTTTTGAATACCTTCATTATTCACTGCTGAAGTTTCATGAAAAGCAGCTCCAATCTGCTCTGCATACTGCGCTCCTTCACGATGCTGTACCGCTCGAGCACTTTCCAAATCTAACTTATTACCAACAACAAATAATGAAACAGGAATTGTCGAGCCACGTTCCACTTCTACAATAAAAAACATTGAAATGAATGATTATCAATTAAAAATTCAGGACTGTACAACACTTCAACTTCACTTCTACAGTAAGTGATATAATTCAAAGAAAACTGATTTAATAATTCCCTACTGGTATGTTTGTTTCACATCAACGAAACTAAACAATTCTGCAATTATTGAGAGAATCTGCTGCACATAAGTCAACCTAACTAATACACATCAGACTATCTTTTCAATTTATTCGGAATTTCTGAAACATATATTCAGCCTTTCGTTAGCACTATCCTAGCTGTTCTCATAAGAAAAATATTTAATAGTATTTGAAAAAATGTTCTCACCATTAACCCACTTCTTGACCTCCTGAAATGATTCACGATCAGTGATGTCATACACGATTACTGCTGCAACTGCATTACGTAGATACATCGGAAGCTTAAAAAAATTGTCAACAATTTTAAATAACATCCGGCCAAATCATTCTACCTATTTTACAAGACTTTTGATTCAGAATAAAAACAATAATCGTCTAAAACAATAACATTTACCATGGAAGAATATCGTTCCTGTCCTGCTGTGTCCCATATTTGCAGCTCGACATTTTTACCATCCAAATTTCTTTAAAAGGGATAAATTTTACATTAAATTTCAGAATTTAAAACCTGAGCAATAAATTTGAAAGACCTACTTATCATAATTAGTCCGCATGTTCATTCAACATAAAAAATTGAAATTCAAGTGAAAAGTCTAGTAATTCTACTTAACAATATATATTCCATTTACTGCATTCTAGTCTGCCATCTTTGTGATTTTCTCAACACTCTGGTAACCTTCATATTGATATAAAAAGGATGTCCATCATCTCAAACTACTTTTTATGAAGCAGTAAAATACCGATAACATTTTACAACTTACAAAAACGATGAAATAAAGCTAGCTCCTAGTGTTGGGTTGATTTTACTATGGAATCCTTGACCATCATGTCGAAGAATAATGCTCGTTTTTCCAACACCTAAAAAATTGAAATAGTATAATAAATAAGCAGTAATCATAATCAGATACGATAAAAACTTAAAATTTTAAGATAAATAAGTGTTTGATTTCAATTTGAATTATCTTTACAGAAAAATATTATTACTCTTCAACTTAAACAATCCATTCACTTACCATTACTGCCAACGAAAACGATTTTAGCTCTGAGATCTGGTTTAGTGATTTGAAAAGAAGTACGCGACATTCAATTAGAACACAGTTTTTCGAGCCAATAAAATGAGAAAATCTTAAAACAAGAAAAGAATATGAATTTTATAAGATGTTAATGAATAGCAATTTGGACATGAGGAAAATAATTTTTGTTTTCTTGAACATCTGAATAAACTACCTAATCGTTCACGATCCAATCGTATTTATTCCACAGATTTTGCTACTTGACGTTTCAAAAAAGAAAAAGAAAACATGATTAATGCATTTGTTTACCAGTGATAACTGCCCTCAAGTTTTTTCTTCAATCCACAGCATGACGAATAAGATGACAGTATTACGCCTTAGGGAAAAGAGTGGTTCCATAAAAATATTCCTTATTTCCTTCCCGATGCAAGTTTTCCAGTAACTTTCATAATATTAACTAATTTTCCACTCCTAACTTTTCGTCTCTTGTAATGCCTAATTTGAACTGTTATTACCCATCCTTAGAGCTTTGGGATTAATCTTAGAAATATGATGTGCCTACTCCAAATTTTCCAGAAATGTAACAGGTATGAGAAAATACCACAAAAATAAAAATTCGACCAGAGAATGGGATAGTTCCAAATTTCATATTCTAAGAACCACAAAATGGTGCCATGCCAAACACAGCTAACGAATTTTGCATATTCCATTCCCAAAAAGCAACATCAAAACACCAATCCTTCTCAGCTTTCATTCTACTCATCCAGCATCGACAGCCACCAAAACGGTGAAGAAATAAAATCACCAACCCATTTAAAGAGAGATTATTTTTTACACGAAACAAAATTTCAATTAAAATTTGAAACTTATGAATGAAACGTTGCATCGAGTCGTACGTAGGTAACAATTCTCTAATGCATGGAAAATCCTGCAAGATGCATGTCTACAACAGCATTTAATAATTTGTTTCATTTCTGATACAAATTTTGCAAACATCTAATTTTGAAAAAAATCACAGCTTCCAACATAATTTCTAGAATAGCACAATCACTATGTTTATAAAAAATATATTAAAAAAAATTTGTTTTTTTTTATATTTGAAAAAAAAACAAACAAAAAAATTTGTTTTTTTTATATTCGAAAAAAAAACAAACAAAAAAAATTGTTTTTTTTTAATATAAAAATTTGTCTTTTCAAATAATAAAAAAACAACACATATATAATTGCAAATCATTTCCGTACAAATTTTTACAAATAATTTGATGTTTAGATATTGCTCGTAACTACTCTATTTATGCAGCGCCCATGACTTGACTTCTTATCCGAAGCCTCAGTTGGTATTGATTACTCAGGATTGGTACAATGCAATAAATTAACACAATAACTTAAGTATTTACAAGCGGAAATAAGTAACTAAAAGAAAGAGTTTTGAAAACTATGTTTCTCATATTGCAAAAATTTCAAATTGCCATATGAGATAGAAATGCGAATTATATGATTTCATCATAAATATTTACAAAATAAATTTTAGCGAAAAAATATAAGTATCGACATAAGATGGGAAAGTAATCTAAACGTTGACGATACAATACGAGTTTCATGATTCTGATATTTGATCTTAAAGAATCCAATTTGCATAAACAATTCATAAATTATAGCATGTCAATAACATCATGAAACACGGAGAAAGCACATAATGTCAACCAATCATGTTGGCTCTTACTACATCAAGAAGTTTTGAACAGATTGAACAAATTTTAACAACAGATTAACGGTGTGACCGTTTTTATACATAAAAAGTAATTTAATATACAAACTGAAAAGATTTTGGTCTCTATTTCTTAAAAAATATCGACGAATGGAAGTTAGTACACGGCTGGTTTAAAAACAAGAAAGCTGCTGTGTCATTGATTGAAATTTCACCAAAAGCTCTGACGGCAAAATTTTATTAAACTGATCCTTCTTTTCAGAGTATCAATTTAATATGAAAAAATTTCATAAAAAAAGAGAATTTTATCCCGAGAGTTCCGAATCAGACCAAAGATGAACTTTTTTATCACATTTTTAAAAGTGTGGAAAAGGAGAATAAATTCATGACCAATCAGTAAGGCAAAATAATAATAATAATTTTTATAAAAAAAAGGAACTCAAGAAAACTAAACTTGAGTTCTCCTAACTACTACTTTAATTTGAAGCGAACTTTTAAAATGAATTTTCGCTTCAAATTAAAGTAAAAATGAGAACCCAAGTTTAGTTTTCTAAAACAACCTTTTTGTCTTGAAAATATTGTTCAAATCGCACAGGTTATTTTTATTCTTTCTCTTCATTTCCTAGTTTTTCAATGGACCGCTCAGTTGGTGACGGTGTTGAATGTAGTGGAACCTCATATGGACCTGAAATGAAGATATTCATATCACATTTTCGCAGTTTTAATTTCAAAAAGATGAAAATTATACTTCGAAGTTACAGAAAACAATATATAAACTTGGAAGGATAATAATATATTTTGAGTAATAAATCATTTCAATACAACTGAAAAAACAAGTTGCGTTGTTAAAAAAAAAAACAAATTAGTGACAAATTAGTCTTTCTGACATATTTTTAAAGAAATGTTAATGAAGATATAAACCAGAAAGATGATTAAAAACGGAACTTAAAAAAACGTTACCAATTAATTGCAATAATGAAACAAGTCGAAAACACATAAGAGAATGAAGGAGTGGACAGATAAACAGTGGGGCATCACTAATGAATTAGCTTTTTTTATTCTCTAAGTTTTTGGAAATAATTAATTCAGAAAATATAACATGATTAAGGAATAGGGAGAAAAGGGAAAGATACATATTACCTAGTAGTGCATTTGATATATTAACTAAAAGTACGTTTCATTTGTCCAATGGACAAATTCATAATAAGAAAATTTGACAGCTTGAAAATCCAATCCAATTCTTTTAATTCGTTTGTGCAAAAAGGTAAATTATAAAATTAGCATATTCGGAAAATGAATGCAGGTAGGTAAACCAGTTAGAAATAGTTCACCATAATTTAAGCAAGAAAAGACCGAAAATAGTAGTGCATTTTGTTAGTAAATCAAAAAAGAAAATGATAAATAGCACATGCAACAAATTTTGACTTTCAACAAAAATTCCATACTTGGTGGTATGGCGTAATCCAAGGTAGCATATTCGTCTGAAAATCAAGATACATTATACATTTCTCAAGCTTCTTATATTTTGAGATGAAACATACTGGATATAGAGAAAATTTTTTTTTTTTTGATTCTTTAAGCTATGTGAAAGCATCTACAAGAAAGAGTAATATGTACGTGTAACCGAAGAACTTCTTAGCTGTGCACTTTTAGCCATAGGCACTGGCTCATCTGGGATTTTTATCGGCATTGCTTCAATAGCTGATCTGCGGTACATTGGATTGTTGAATTCTCGTGTTTCAATTTCATTATGAGTTAAAAGTTCTTTGACATGCGGATAATAACTGAAAACGGATACAGCGTTCATAAATTCAAATTTATAAATCACATAATGAAGAAAGTGTAGGCTTATCCAAATATCCGTAATGCAAACATAAAAAAACTTACGTAAGAGTTGGAAGATCAGGATCCTTTTCCTTCTTATACTTTCTTCGATAGAAGACAGTTCCGAATGATAACAAGACAACAGCCAACAACGATGCTAGCAAAGCGGGAAACACCCAACTGTTACTTCCATCATATTCTTTCATTGCAGCACTTCCTGCAAATAATATGTTTTCAATAATGTTTACTATGGATACACTTCCAAAAATACACTAGTTTATATTGTAATTTAATTCAATTCCATTTTTCTGATTGCAACTTTTCTATACTTGTTAAGTAAGAACGCATAAACGAAGATCTGCACTATGTGATAGCAACATTATGTAATGACATGTGAAATAGAAATTGAAATTCAACATAATTCATCGACTCGACCTGACGACGTACAATGAGTAACTTACGTATAACACGACACGGTTTTTTGTGTTGGTCGCAGCATCCAACAACATTATCACAAATTTCGTTTTCCGAACAGTTACAACGTAAACTGCAGTTACTACCATAATAACCCTCCAAGCAAACTGTAAACACCAAGAATTTAAAAAATCATTACATAAAAAATATGTGCGTGAAGGCTCTTTTCATCTCATCATACTTGCTAATTTAATGATCGAGTATAAGATTTCAATCCTGGAGAATCAATTCTAATCCTAAATGCACTTTAAAAGAGAACATGTCGCCACAAAGCTCTTTTTTGCCGCGATATTCGGCATTCTATCCAAATTCCAAAGATTCAATATTCAAATTTTTAGACCCTTAGTAATATAAATTTTAAATGAAGATTTCGACAATCCATTTTAGAGAAAAATTACCTTTATATATTTTATACAAAAAAGCAAAATGAAATTAACTCAATATGCCATCACATTATAGTGAATTGAACTTGCCGCTTGAAAGTTCAAAACATACAAAACTACTTCACCTTCACAGGTTTCCAGCCGTGTTTCGTAATATCCAGAACAGCATTTGTATGCAATTATTTTCTTCTTCTTTGGCAAAGCTTTATATGAGATCTTTGTTCCATTACTGAAGAATATTTATTTTACATAGAAACTGGGAATTTGGATCACTGATCTGTCCTAATTTGATTAATTTGCCTTTATTAACGCTTCTTTCAGTATTTAAGATCTGGAAATTATATATTTAATGCTCAAATTTTTAGGAACCATATTTAATGCTCAAAATGTGGATCCGACAAACGAAATATTTTGTTTTTTAAAGCTATTATTTTTAAAGTTATTAGTCACTTCCAGATGACAAATATACAATCACGCACATTATTATGACTATATACTTACTAATCACAAATCTTATGTTCAATTTTTAAGCATGATAAAACTACTGAGATCTATCATTTCACGAAGTCATCAGTAAGAACCTATAGACAGAAGTCCATGTGGAAAATAAATAATTCAAATTCGTTTTTTTTAAAAAAAAAACTTACGTCTTAACTTTACAGCGAAATCCCTGTGAAACATCCCAGCAAGGTTGTGTGGTATGCAACACAACAGTTTGCTCATGTCTCTGCAAGCTTAATTCTTCAGCCCTGAAAAATCATAAGAACAATGAGAATACTATCACTTGCCTTCGTAGTTTAGTCGTAGATGCAGGAAATTTGTTTGAAGGATGTGGCCATAAATGTCGATAAAAGTGCTATCCTTATCTTACAGTTTTGTATTTCATTTAAATCATTCAGTTTATTAATATGATAATGATCTTTATCAAACTACTGAATAGCATCATGACTTTGACTTCTTCTCAACCATAAGTATTACTTGAAGTGGATCAAAAAAATGAGGATTAAGACGTGTGAAAGGAACTCCGTCACTTATATCCAACTTTGTCCATTAATCACTTCTTAACAGTACAGACCAATTTATCCAGTAAGTGGACAAAATAAGATCATTGGAATTTGACTATGACGACATGATATTTGTTAAATGGGGAAGGAAATGAAAGAATATAGAAAGAAAAGAACAGCGAAATGGATTATGCATGTTCTAGATGAAATATTGAATAAAAGATAAAATGTGAAAACCGATTACTAATCTTGTAGAGAGCAATGTATAGAGAATACAAAGAAACATTGAATGAATATAAAATTTGTATTTCAGAAAAAATATCACAACTGCGTACAAAACAGTCAAAGTAAAATACGATGATTCAAGTTCTTATAAATTTATTTCATCATAAAGGTCTCGCCTTTTATTGTTGAATGCCAACAGCTGATTGCTAGCGAAAAATTTTCATGCATTTAAAAACTTATGTAACTGAAGTATGAAATAAGCTTCATACTCTCCCATAATTCAAATATTAGTCACCAACGATGATGAAATGTGATGAGAATTAATATGAAAAATAACTGGAATATTAAAAATCATCAATGAGAAACATTAAACAATATGATGAAAAAAATGAAGAGACACATACATATTACACAAACCGATATAATGAAATGAAATGCAGATTGAAGCGCGAAGTCAAATGTCAAAATCATAGTAAACATGCATACAAAGCAAAGACCTTTTCCTTAAATATTTTGAAACACCAAGAAATACGACAAAATACTCACTCTTCTTCTACTGGGCATACGTTTTCTGCGTTTATCAGAGCACCATCCACAGAAGGTCCATTAATTAAGTATAAAATAACGGTCGCTGTACAAACTAATGACGTGATCGTCGTCTCCATCGATCAGTGCTCAAATGAAGCGCTAAAAAAATATGTTGATTAATAATAAGTAATGCTTAGTCCACTTATAATCTGCTATCATATTATCACTAATAGATGATAAGTCATCGAATGAATGAAATATATTCAGCTGTCAAGCTGCAATGCTTCGATTATTTATGAATAATAAATTCTCCTTTTGTTGCTAAAGTATGGTAAACGCGCAAATTTGAGGAATGAAAAACTGTTATATTTTGAAACACCAAGATCTGATAACAGATTAGGCAAAAAAGGCAAATAAAAATCAATAATGCTTTTTCTATATAAACGAAATCAATATTATGTTTTACGGTTTTAAGATCTTCCACCGATAATGATGTTAAACTATTACGCCAAAAAAAACTATTAATAATTTAGCAATGCTTTGCTTAAGAATCATTTACATAAAGAAAAAGAGTTAAAACTGTTTTTCATTAATAAAAAACGGGAAAAATGAGAAAATGAGTGCATTATTTTGCGTTTTCCTGACACTAGCACTTTAGGTACTTTAACGTATTTAAAGATAAGAAAAGATGTCTAAATCTTTTTTAATAATAACGCCAAGCTGGCCTTCAGTATGGAATTCAAGGTAATTGATTTCCATTCTGTTTCATTGATCAATTGATGACACATCGCTGACTGTACCCTTTTTACCTGTTTACCCATCAAATTGAGAGAGCATATGCAAGAAAGAGAGAGAATTATAAAGTGGAAAACAGCCATTGAAATGGTGAAGTAGAAGAGAGAGCGACACAATTACGAAAGAAAAATACCTCACGATGATATCATAAATGAAATATATCTTTCACATGACTTATTATAATCTGTACTAGAAAATACCTGATCTCCGCAAATTGACCTCTGTGACATACTCATTCCATGCAATGTTCAATTGATTTCATTTTTCCATCTTTCGTCCCCCTCAACTGAATTATCATTGTGATTACGAAGTGTTTGAAATTACATAATAAGAATCTTCTAAGTTACAAATTCTTACCTACAGCAACTGACCGACGTATCATACGACATATCATGTGGTGATATACGTCAAATAACATGCGGAATACTAACAAAACCACGGCAAATAGCGACCCGCAATTATGTGAGATAGTCAATTTCTCGTCTATTGTCACATTAAGCATATACTTCGCAATTACTCTCAATCTTTGCTACAACACTTATACACGTGTCTTTTTATATCCATTAGCACGATATCTTACAAATCTCATTATTCCTTCTCTCTCTCCTGGTTGCTATGCTATTTTCTTTAGCGATCAGTCTTTAACTTTATGTCCATAAGTTAATTTTTGCCTAGTTCAGTAAGTTAATTTTTTAAAACTCTCTGTCTAGTTTATTAATCTTTCAGAATTTTCTAAACTCATTTATTTAATGAGCAGATCCTTTGTTTTGCTATTTGAAAATTTTCTTCTCTTGCCTATCCTGGAAGGACTGCTAAGGACTAAACAAGCTGCCATTTATCCTTTTATCAATTAAATAAGAAGTTTGGGAAGGGATGAAAATGCTTGTCATCAGTGGTGATATCAAACAACACTACTGATAAGGACTCTTGACAGTACGGATGTTAAGATCTCTTTCAGGACAAATTTGGGCAAAAAAAACTTGAAGTTATTGGAAAAAAGATTGTTAAAAGCAAAAAATTTCAGTTAATTTGCTTAGCAAAAAATTGGATTATTGCATTAGCAAACAATGCTACAAAAGTTAAATAAGTTTGTTAGGTTAGATAAATGTAAACGATTAACTGCATTTCCTCTGTTCACTAAACATCGAAAATTAAAAAAGATGATGTGATATGGTGTTATCAGTGACGATATATGTAAAAGTGATACACGGATAATTATCGATGCAGCCTAAGAATAATTTATCACGATATTCATACCTGTCCAGGTACCAGTGAAATCTTTTCTCACACTTTTCAAATAAATTAGTCACTGTATGTTCTATACCTGAATTTTCCTAAATGAATTTTTGAAAAAAATCAAATCAAATTGATTGATGATATTTGGAATGTAACAAAGTATAACTTTTTAGTGAATTTAGAAAACAAAGAAAAGTTAAAGGAAATATATGACGATAGCCGAAGAATTATCAAGCGGATGTAAACTTGTTCTGCTTATTGAAGTATGACAAATAAAGCTAATAGAGAGCAAAAATGTTGCCATATACATCTTATAAAGGTCACTACGAGTATCCTGTACATACAGAGGTCACATCAATAACTGAAGAAGAGGAACACTCATTGTGATGAAGGACAGAGTGACAGAGTGATCCGAAATGGTTTGTTTTCTGAACGATAATGATTGTTGAATCATCACGCTTTATACACATTTCTGTACTGAAGAAAACAACAATTTCAAACAACAATTTAAATTTGCCGGATGTTACGAAATATCGGAAATATAAAACCGTTCAATATGTTCACTTCATTTAAACCTTCATTTAAACATTTAAACGTTCAAACTTTTTTGTTTACTTTCGATAAAGCTTAATATAAACAACTAACACTGATAGCATTGCATCCTTACATTCTCCTTTCCTTCATTTCTCCATCATTTTGGCCGATATCTTTTCTTTATAACGTAAAAATACATAATCAATTCGTTTTCATGTATTTGTGATGATAATGTAAGCAATTGAAAAAAATCATTTTCGAGATATATTCTTCCTCAATTACAACTGTTAGAATTTGTCAACTACAACTATTTATAATTTCAAAATAGATAAAATCAATTGGAGTAAATTTGAAGAGTGAAAAGAGAGTGGAAAAAAAAACTTCATCTGCTGAGTCATACTAGAATGATTAATTAGAACACAAATTGCTGTAGTTTGGTGCAGAAATGATAAAATATTGCACCTTCCTAAATAATTTATTAAATGTCAAATTTTCACATCGATTATCCGTTCAAAGATTAGCATAAAATTGAGAAGATAGAAAGAGGAGAGAGTATGGGGGCGGAATAGAATAAGAATGAAAATTGCACGAGAGGAAATGAATGAATAAAATAAAATAAGGACATGTCTATTGAAAGAGCAAGAATTTGGAACATTTTACAAATATTTCAAACATATGCTCTCAGCAATACAAAAGTGCCGAAGTTCGTTTTGATTCAAAATCGATGGAATATTTTGCTTGTTTTGATTCAAAATCGATGGAATATTTTTGCTTATGTCCGAGTGGGGAGCGGAAACTGACACTGAATCATAAATTGTTTATGTATGTATGTGTGTGTGTGTGTGTGTGTGTGTCATGTGGCGCTTAATTAAATCTTTGCTAACAAGAACAATATTTAACTTTTTAAATATTGAAATTTCTGAAATGATTCAAGATATAATATCGTAACTATCATTAAAAAAATGATCGATCTTTCTTCATTTGACCTTCAACCTTATTCACTTCCATTATAAAAAGGAAAATAAAAAGCGAAGAGAAGGGAAAAGGGAAAAAAGGTCAAAATTTGTGATCAATACAAACTCGAATATTGGATGTTCAAAAAAAGAAGAAAATGAAAGCGTAAAAAAGAAATTGATAATATGAAAATAGTAATTAATGAATCAAAATGAGTGAGTTTCTTTAGATACCGAAATAGTTGAATAATTCAAACATTTTCAAACATTCAGAGTCATAACTTTTAATTTTTAACGAACACTGATTACTAACGAAATGAAATAAAGAATGTAATTATCATATAAAAGATGTAAGGTCAGAAGTGAATGCTTCAGTCCAGCATATTTTTGCTCATCCATGTGAGGAAGAATAAGAAGCCTAAAAAATCATAACGAACAATTAATTAGGAAATTTAAAGCAAAATTTATACAATCATTTGATTGATATGAGTGATAAAAGTTGTATGACAGAAATGCTTTAAACATTAATATCAAACCTGAAACGTAGAAAATTTCTTTTTAAACAATATTTGTTTATTTGTTATTCATCCTTTATTTTAATTGAGTCTAATACAATTTGGTTCAAAAATCGAAGATTTCTTCGTCTATTAATGATTGGTAAAGAAAAATATCCTTTTCATATTTCATTGAACTTTCAACTTTAAATTATTTTAAAATTTCTTTCTTGAAAAATTCTTTTCCTTTTTTCGTAGATTAAATTGAATCAGTGATGTCATATATTCAATTATTGGTTCACGTATAAATTTTTTTAAAAAAAAGAAAAATTAGAGAACAAAATTTCTCATTTTATTTTTATGATTCACTCGAAATATATTACCGTTGCATGATTTTCCGGTTTTCAATGAATGGTGGTGAAGCACATTAAACATTCCGAAAAAATAATGCACTTTAACATTGAAATCATCGTTTACTAAGTTAAATGCATCATATGTTACAATTAATTTTCGTTAAATTTATGTGCACATCCACTAATTTTCTTCTGAATTATCAAATAATTCAAAGTATGAGTCATTTATTATTCACCATAGAATGATTTTAAACTGAAAATAATTCAAATGATTTAGACGAGCCATTTAAAAGGCATTATTCGATTCGAATATTTTAAGATTGGTCTTTTAAAATAATTTTTATTATACAATCAAAGAAAAAAAGAAGGATTGTGTATATGGCATATAAAAATAATGATAATTGGAACATTTCGTGGTGGATGATTTTGTTGAGGAAGACGTTCATAAACGAAAGATTGAAATGAAATAAATTAGGAGAGAGATGATTTAAATGAGCGGACGTGAAAGTTTATGCCTAAAAATGGCAAACAAACGTAAGGTCCTAATATTAATTAGGATCCTAATGTTTCCGATTCAGATAAAACTACCAATAAAAATGTATAAAATAATTTATGGAATTTTTTTGAAAAATTTAAAGATGAAAAAGAAAGAGAGCATTATTAATTAGTTGAAAATTTTAATGAATATTTCGGACAAGCGCAAATCTATTCATTCCAAGTAATTGAATAAATTCAAGTCAATTTGATGTTGTATTTAAAGTAACCAATGAAAAAGATAATAAACGAGAGAAATTAAATTTTAAATGACTTTACTAAAATTCAATTCATTTAGTACAGATCGGATGAGATTCTAAGATGGTCGAATGCATTTCAAATATTCATTTCTAAAACATTTCTTTTGCTTATTGATTAGTAAATTTACTGTTTAACAAATATTTAAACCCTACTTTCAATGATAGGAATATCCGATTGATTAATTGATTGAACTGATATTTTTTCCACCTTCACTAAAACGCTGAATTGCACTTAAGTTTAAAATGCCTGTTAAATGTGAGCAAATAAACATTTGGAAATAGTGTTGATCTTCAATTCAATGCTATAAATCACATAAACTGCATTGCAGCAGTTTGACTTAACTCAAAAGCTATAAAAAAAATTATTCCAAAATTAAATTTCTAAAATGCATAAATTTTTTACCGGCCAAGGTTTTTCTTACTTTTTGTAAACACCATAATGTTTTAATTTTATAAAATTTGCTATAGTATGTCAATTAATGGAAACAAATTTAAAATCAAAATTATTTTCAAAAAAAAGGGAAATATTATGACTATAAGAAGAGAGTGAAATGATTTTCAACAGAAGCAAAAAGCAATTTTCGTCTATCGAAGGAAATATAAATATATGCTCCTTTCTGAATGGAAAAATGGTTCGACAAAAATTATTTTATACAAGAAAACTGACCTGATTCAATCAAGTTGTTTTTTGTGATCTTTAAAGCAAATATTAGCATCTCAAAACAACCCCTAATTTTCCAGCAATGAATTTCAAAGATGATACATTGATGTGTCACAGATAAGATGTATGTATTCATTCCCTATCGTTCGAATTCTGCAATCGAAAAAGTTTGTTAGAGTAAAAAATTTTTTCGAAAAACTCAGTAAGGCAAATGGAATCTCAGATAAACTGTCAACCTTTCGGTATTTCATTTTTGGTGTTGATCGCCTTTAAGTAATTTTCACTGTATTAGATATTATCAGTCGTTAAGTGAAAATATTCAATCAAATTCTTTTCTCATTAAAAATTTAAAGAAATCACTTGATTTTTAAATGATAACAGCTTAGTGGTTAAGTAATTTATAAACTGTTTTGGCATCCAGTACAACGATATTGCCGGCTGCTTCATATAATTTATCGGATGGAAAAAACTTAGGAAAAAAAAAGCTTTTTCTGATAATGGAAAGTATCAAAATTCATAATCTTTATAAGCTTATAATTTCCTATTTTCAAATCATTAATAAAAACTAAGTATATGAATAAGAAAGAAGAAATTTTCCAAGAAATATAGCTTTGATTTGACAAAATGTGATAGCTTCTAACATCAAACCTGTAATAATGTCTATAATATTAGTGCAATAGTTCGTTGCTCGGTTATCTCGTTAAATTTTCGAAAAATGGATGAAACCGTAAAAAAGGTAAGAAATTGTAAGTATTCAGGTATTCTTTAAGAATATATTTACAATGTATAATACTTATACTCAGATCAAAATTAAACCATATTTGTATTTATCGTACAATTATGGTGTAATATTTGTACGGAAATACAAATATGATTTAATATGGTTCAGTTGCAAATAATTTTATTTAATATTACTTACCTCTTTCTTATTATACCTATACAGTACTATGCTTACAATTAATAACATATGGCATAATTTCCGTTTTAGCTAGTCAGCGATTGAGTGCTATTTGATTAACTTATCTTTGCCGTAAATTTCATATATAATTAATGAATGGAATGTAATAAATCGCTATCTAAATTTTTAGTATCACATATTTTTTGAATTCAAAAAAAGATATTTTGAGATCGGTTCCATCTCTTTTTAACAAAAATATCAATTTTCAATATCACTAAAGATATTTATAAAAATTGTTGAAAATTATGTCCCATAAGAACATCAAAATTTCGGACTGTTTTCAACGATGAGTTATTGAAGGCACAATTATCCATTACTATCAGGTTCTTGGATCGATATGTTAAGACTAGTAATTATTATTGCTACAACTTCTAAAAAAAATAATTCAGGTTTGATGGTTGTGGTGCCAATAGTTGTATTCAACTACGTTTGAGAATAAATTGTTGATGCAATAACAAGGCTTATTGCTTAATATCTGTGGTGATTACTGTGGCGTTACAGTTATGTCACTGTAGCGATACTATAATGATTACTGTAGCATTAATTATTTGAAATATTAATGGCAGTTTTTTGATTACAGAATTCATTCATTCTGTACCGTACTGTATATGGTCGTTAACAACCAAGATGACGAAAATTTAATCGATAATACACATTTGTAAAAGACTGCTTTTCTCTGGAAAAAATTGTCGAGCTATTCAAATCTCGAAGTCGAAAAAGTTAGACAAAAAACTATCTCGCTAGTAGCGTTATGACCATTTTTATATTCATTGCACCTGAATTTTCAATTTACCTAATAAACATTGACCTTCTTGATCATTAGACATGTTATTAATTGGAACTTATTCATAGATCAGAAACTTTAACAGTTTGCTATTTGAAGTTAAAAACATAAGCTGATTCATATATGAATATTTTTAATGACTATCAATTGATCTATCAGTTAAATCATTTCGATGTGAAAAGAAAAAAAAGAAAAAGACCGTAAAATGATTGTTATCATAAAGAATTCATTTGAATTCAAAAAGTTCAGTGAAGAAATTTAGTGGAGAATTAATTATTGACCATTGTACTTTGGATCATTTATATTTTCTATCATTTAACAATATTATGCAGTTGTGAAACTTCGAAATATAATTTGAAATTCTCACAATAAAAAAAATCGAAATTTTAAAGAGTAGTGAAAAGAGCTTCCTGAGCGTAGAATGAGTGGAAGGAAAGTGAAAATGATAAAATTCCTCCATATCTTTTTGGAAAACTGCACACTTTATTGGTTTAAATCAATTTGTTACAGCATTGACATTCTCACGAGCTTATCTTTGCGCCGCAACTGTGATACATATGCTGAACTGCCGATGAAACTTTTTATATTTGATTTAGCATACAGAAGTCTATAAAAATACACAAACACACCTATATATATTACAGCACACAACTAATCAGTTAAATTCATCTTTTCAAAAAAATACCAAATTAAAATTACAAAAGATGGCAATAGATCACGCAAGGCACCATCTATTGTAGAATTGAACAATGAATAGTAAAATTGATTGAAAAAAGAAAACAAAAGTTAATGAGTGTAAACATCATTTTCCATCATTTATTTCATACTTATGCTTTAATAAGTTGAATCATATGGAATTGAATGATATATAAATCATTGGTGCAAATGGTAAATCCTACCGAGGTAGCTATAAAATTAATGTTAAAAGTTTCTGTGGTCAATTCAAATTGCATCACAGTTACAATGAATAGATGAAATGAATGAGCTGAGCAATTAAAATATTTGCACATAAATCATTAACAACAATGATCAATCACATTGTTACCAATAAAAATAATTCAAGCTGTTAGGCATTTTAGAAAGTTAAATTTTTATAATAGAAAAGGCACAGAATTCTTTAAGTTAAAGTAAATCACAGAGTTGCAATCACTGATTCACGGGTCATTCATATTTCACGAAGTAATTGATGTATTGATTCATAATGAAGCAGTGTAACTCAACCGTAACACAACTTACTCATCTTTGCAAAATAATTTCACAATTATATTTTGAAAAATTGGAATTTGAAAATTCGCACTATACGAAAGATAGCAATTAGAAAAATAGCTCAAATATTCATATTCCAAAATAAATAACGTGGAAAAGTGGATGATAATAAAGACTAACTGTATAAAATAATCAAATGAATAGATGGAAAGCTTGAAAAATTCAAATTTAAAATTTTTCATTTAAAGCTTATTTTCTTGTCGCACTATTTGGTATTTCATATCCATAAGCAGCTGAAGAAAACACATAAAACAACTGAGATCAAGTATTTAAAAGTAAAATTGAAATTAATTCCCAGCTACTTTGTAAAGTGAATTTCGAATGAGAAGAAAAAATGAATAGAATGCCATGTAGAGAGGTGCAATTTTGATGTTGAAATTTATGCATTAAGCCAAAAATGTTAACTTTAAGCATTAGAACTTACGTTTCATAGAACTTCCGAAATTTTTTCGATTTCCGTGCAACGAATCAATTTCTGTATAAACATTATCGAATTTAGTATAGTCATCTGAATATAACATGGAAAAGCAAATATTTTTTACTTAAAGAAGAAGTGAACAGTTGAAAGAAAAACTATTAAACAAAACTATTGATTTTTTGAAAAACTACTCAAAAAAAATTTATTTAAATAAATTCAAATACAAATGTTATACTTTGAAATTGATCGAATCGTTTTGTTTTATTACATTCTCCTGCAACCTGACCGCTAATTGCATCTTCTGCAGTCTTTCTATAAAGCGGATTGTCGAATCCATTTCTCATTGTGGTCAATTCGTTATTTTTCACCGTCGAATGATAACTGAAACTAAAAATTAATTGCTTCGTTCACTCTTTTTTTGAATTACTTCTATAAATGATATATTGAAATGTATCGATGCACAAAATATTTTCGAACAATTTTTTCGATTACAATTATTAAATCTGATTGCGGAAGTGATTTATTCGAAATATATCTTTTATCTAAATTGAATCAAACTTTTAAATAGCGTTACATATCAGTACATTTACTCCATGCTAATTCCGTCTTTCGTCTTCTTTTTTTTTAAAAGCAAACAGATGTTATTTATAAAATAAAATTGAGAAAAAGAAATTATGATCAAACCATCCTACAAATATCATTATCACTTTTCTGATTATTTACAAGCAATGACCAATAAAATAGTTAACTTACCTGATAGTTGGAATGACGGGATCACGTTCCTTGAAATATTTTTGACGATAGTAGAGAATGAGGAGTACAAGAATAACGAGTAGGATACCAAGAAGGAACAAAAAACCGGTAATTGTTGCAAACGTGTACTTTTTCGATAGATGGTATTCCAGTTCTGAATTATTAATAAAATTAAGAAAATATATCATTAATTTACAGTAATGGTGAGATTATTAAAGAGCTTAACATTTGAGTATTTTATGTAGTAATGTAAATTTTAGACGGATAAAAAATTCAGCAAATTAATATTTTATCATGATGATGATAACATATCAATTTGCTGCATTTGCTAAGATTTTCACTTGAAGTTCAATTTCTTGATACCACAAATGTACTGGATGACCTTGTCATAATATTCAAGCTACAAAAAAAAAAATTTACCATTCTTTCAGTTAGCATTTTAAGAGTAAGTTGTTACTGTACAAATACTTAATTTGTTTTGGGAAAGATTATATTTCAAACTAAATATTTATGGCTGACAATTATTACAATCCCCTTTTCGAATTCTTTTATTCGATTCTCTTCAAGTTATTGATGTAATTCTATTAAAGAGAAGGACAAAACTTCATACTGATAGGATCGCAGGAAATACTGTCATAATTGCAACAACCAACCACCGGATCACAGGTATTTTCACCGCAATCGCACACATTCGCGCACTGTTCGCCCCAGAAACCTTCGGGACAGACTGTAAAAGACAACTGTTAAATTTATTTAGAAAATCCTATTTAAAAAATACAGTTCAAATAGTTATTTGGCTTGAAAAACATATTTATACATCAACAAGCATATATTTGAGTGAATAAAAAAATTAAAACTTTTCAAAATTCACCTCGATCGCATTTTGGTCCAGTGAAACCTGGATGGCAAACACATTCACCCGTTGTTGCTTGACATTTCGAATTTTCCATTTTACATGAACATCCGAAAACACAATCTGGACCCCATAAACCTTCAGGACAGTATTGATTGCACAGATCACCCATAATACCTGCAAAAAATACGATGTATTTTTTATTTATAGTAAAGTAAAGCAAATGAAAATTTTAAACAATTTTGATAATTCTATTAATGATTTAAAAAAAATACCGGAAGCACAATGACAAATACCGGTGATTGGATTGCATAATTTATGACCACTTTTACATTTGCATTCATTCAAGCAATCCGCACCCCACCGACCCATTCCACAAGCTATAAAATATGATTGTAAAAGTTAAATCTAACTTTAAATGTAAATCTAGGATAAGTATGCAATATGTACGTAATAATATCTCAAGTTCTGCAATAATCTTGAATAGTGCTACTGTTCAGTAATTCAAATATAGTAAGCATTGAATAGTGCACTCCAGAAGGAAGTTCAGAGTTTGAAAGAGAAGGAGAATCTTTCGTCATTTTAAGAATTCATATTTGTTTAAAAGAGAGCATACAGAAGGAAGAAACTAACTTAGTTCACATTTTTCTCCCATGAAACCCGGCTTACAATGACATTCACCATCGATCGGATCACATTTACCGTTATTTTTGCATTGATTACATGTTTGAGAGCAATTCATACCCCATTTACCGTGAGGGCATACTGTAATATTTGTTTCTCAGTAAAATCTGACAATAATTATAGGGCTAATCGATAATCTGAGAGTAATTCAGAAACATAAAAAGCAAACTTTAGGAATGACTTATTCTTCAATTCATTTCAGTTTAATGAGATTTTATATGTTTGGCCGAATGTTACGGTAACATCGAAGAAATTTGAGTGGCATTTTTGACTGATAATATGTAGGAGGAGACAGAAGTAAATCTCAGGTACCTCGATTACATTTTTCACCCATAAAACCGCTGTAACATTGGCAGCTACCATCGATGCTATTGCACTCCGAACTTTGCATGCAATCGCAATGATTCATGCACTTTTCACCCCACATTTTAAACGGACAACTTTGCTCACACAATACACCACTTCGTCCGGCTGGACATTGCAAACACTGACCAGTGCGTGGGTCACATCCATAATTACAGTTGCACTTCTCTCTACATTCTTTTCCGTAAGTACCAAAAGAACATTCTAAAAAGTTCGAACGAATTAATGATTGAAAATAATCAAATGGTAGAAATGCTCAAAATTTCAACAGCATCAATCGAATGGAATTCATAAACGATGATAAAATACATTTTCAAAAAAAAAAAATTTTTTTTGAATTAAGAGGGTAGATGATAGTGGTGAAGATTTGGATGATCTGTGATTCAGGTCATCTCAATGATCTAAATGATCAAGGCAATCTTATGATCTGTGCTTAGACATCTCATGTGTTACTTTTACTGGCGGATGAAAGACGAGAAAGACTTTCAAATAAAATTTCTTGCAAATTGCTGCATTCAGACCAACAAGAACTGACTGCATTATGTATTTTCTTACTCCTCCATGAAGTTTTCTCTGCTATCAAAGAATGCTTTCAAAAAAAATAAGGTGAAACAGAATTTTAAATAAGAAATCTTGAAATTTCTTGCAATAAATTAGTAATATCAACAATTTCCATCTTACCTGTTGTAGAAAATAGCCATAACTTCTCCAGTAAAGCAAAGATAACGCTCACCTTCATCACATAAACGACCGGTATATCCTGGACGACAAGCACACTTCCCTGAATTTTCCACACAAGTTCCATGAACACATGGACATGAACTCAAGCAATTCTTTTTTTCTCCCGAAGGGCACGACACGGAGCAATCTGGTCCTCAAAATGATGAATTTGATTAGGAATTAAACCTTAATTTCTTGACCTTTGAAATTTTATAAGAATCTATTAGTTCTCAAGCTTGTGCTATTAAAATTTAAAATTCGAAAACTAACCAGCCCATCCGTCTGCACAATTGCACTCGCCATTAACTGGATCACATGTAGCACCATTTCGACAGTTACATTCTTGCGAACAATTAATTCCATAGAAACCCTGAAATCGTAATAAGATAACAAAAAAAAATGAATTAAAATGCTGGCGCAAACTGTCTTGAAATGATATAATGATAATGATAGCTTAAAATGACTTGAACTAAATTACCAGATGCCTTATCGATATTGGCCATACTTCAATTCAATACGGTAAACTAACAAACAGTATAGTCATCATTTGATGAGTAATTAATGAAGCATTAAGCTCTAACTTCGCTGCACGGTATTTCACAATTTTTTCCAGTCCATCCAACCGTGCACATGCATGCAGCACTTAACGGATCGCAACCGGCACCATTTTTGCAATCGCATTTCTTACACTGTGCATTACCATAACCAGCCCAACAGGGTAAATTGCACTGTGGTCCTCGCCAACCTGAAATTATTTTCTCATAACATCCTGAAAAATTATCATAATCCCATGCTTTTATCACTGCATGTCTGCACGCTCAATATTGCGACATGAGTGTTTCAATACAGCAAATTTGTATAGGTAACATACCAGCAGTGCAATTGCATGTACCAAAACGATGATCACATGAAGCACCATTTTTACAATTGCACTTCGATTCACAATTCATACCAAATAAACCTTCCGTACATTTTTCATCACAACTAAAAAAAATCTTGAAAAAAAAACTTTCTAAAATTCTAGAAAGTTTTTTTTCAGAAAGTTCTTTCAAAATTTCTAAAATTCTACAAAATTAAGTCAGTCTATGTATAAAATATTCGAATAGAAATTTCTATAAAATATTCGAATAGAAATTTAGTATTTGATAAAAACAGTTTGATAAAAACATTTTAATAGTAAAAAGAAGCATCATGGAGATTTTAAAGTTTTCTGATTTCAAAATTGAAAATTAAATCAGAATGAACTTTAATACTTTACCGAGTTCCATGATATCCAGGAGCACAAATGCACTGTCCAGTGATCGGATTACATTGTGAACCGGTATTCAGGTTACACTGACATTTTCTCTCACAATTTTCACCATAATATGATATTGGACATGGAGAATTACAACCTGCCCCTGTAAAACCTGGACGACAACTACAGGAACCAGTGATTGGATGACAGCTGAAATTAAAATAGAATATATGAATAAATACATAATTGTAAATCAAAAATAGCGCAGTGAAAGGAAGAAACGAAAAATTGCAATGATTAAATTTAACCTCTAAAAAACTTACAGTTTCGTATTTTCCGGATTGCAAGCGCATTCGTTTTCACAATTTCGTCCAAAACGATTAAATGGACAAACTATAATTTCAAAATTTAACCAAAAACTAATCACACCAAAAATGGAAATATTAATAAATTTAGAAAATTTAAATAAAATAAAAGAAAAAGTTAAGAACGAAAACAATTGATACCTGTCAGGTGAAAAAAATTAACCAAAGAAAAAAAATTGGCCATTGGAAATGTTTTGCAAATAAGAGAAAATCACTTTAATTTTAAAATGAAAATAACCAATACTTTTTTGATCGCAACGTTCTCCTTGGAATTCTTCTGGACAAATGCATTTTCCGCTGATCGGATGGCAGCGTGCTTCATTTGCACAGTTGCATTTTTGCGCACAATGGAGAGAGAATAAATGATAATTTCAAGAAATTAATTTACTGTCAATTAAATATACTTCTACTTATTCCAATTTTTTGAATAAGCACGAATAGAAATAATTTAAATTCATTGGTTTTCTGGAAGAAGTTTTTAATTTACAATAACAATTAGTTAGTGCTTTCGATTCCATTTAAGCATTGATAAGTTAAAAGTTAAAAAAGAATTGAATGTTTGCATGGCTGGATGGAAGCAGAAACATTTTAGTGAATGTGAATGATACTTACTCCTTCCCCAAATGTACCTTCCGAACATGGTTCTTCACAGTGCTTTCCGATAAAGCCAACACAATGACAATTTCCGGTTACCGGATCACATCCGTTTTCATTATAACAAAAACAGTGCGAAGTACAGTTAACACCGTAATATCCTTTAGGACATTTATTTTCACAAAACCGACCCTGAATTCCGAAATTAGTTTTATTCTTTGCATAAATTTAGACTATTTTAAAAAAAATTAGATGATTTAAAAATTTAGACATAAATTTAGACGATTTAAATTTTAGTCCGAAATTTCCTGAAAATACTATTTTATTCCGACTGGCAGTAATATGAAATTATTGATAACTTATTATAATTATAATTATTTGGAAAAAAGATAATTGAAAAGAAATTTAAACAAAACTGGTAATGACTATAACTGAAATGAAACACCTAACAACTATAGCTGAATTAAATTAATTTGAAACAAACTAAATTTGGTGCTAGAAAATTTCAATTCTATTTAATTTTTCCATTTGCATCATTATTTCTATAAGCCAACAAAAGTTCGAAACAAAAAACTAACTGAAAATCCAGCACGACATAAGCAAGTTCCATCTTTTTTATTACAATATGCTCCATTTTGACATTCGCAATCGTATATGCAATCGGGTCCATGTTTTCCCTTAATTAATTGAGCTTTATAAATAAGCATATAATGTCTCATAAATGGATTTAATTTTAGGAAATTATAAAGATTTAATTAAAAAATTTTAAATTAATAAAAAGCCCCATAGTCTAAAATTTTATCATAAAATTAAGAAATTATAGAACAACTCTCACTTCATCACATTCTTTAAGACAATATTGACCAGAAAATCCAGGTGCACATTTGCACGAACCATCAATTGGATTGCAAGTACCATTATTTTTGCACAAACATAAAAATGCACAAGTTGGACCCCAATGTTTATCGTCACATGGTTCCTTGCAGTGTTTACCATGATAACCTAAAAGGTCAAGTGTAAACTTTTCTGATAATAGCTAACATCCATTAGCCTAACTCATTACTGATACAGTTTCAAGTTCGTTAATTAATTTTATGTGAAAGTTAATGATTTTCAAAAAGAAGTGACACCGTAACAGATACCAGGAGGACAGTAGCAAATGCCTGTGATTGGGTTACAAGTAGCTCCAGGATTGCAATTACATTTCAATGAACAAGATGGACCCCAAAATCCTGTTGGGCAAGCTGCAAATATAAATATAAATATTACAGTGATATCGACAGATGTAATCAAAGCAGTAATAAGTATGATAAATTTTAGACCTCAAAAGTATTAAAAATTCGAAATAGAAAATTCAAAATTCTCATCTATTTCCAATAAATGAAATTTCTTAAAAATCGAACCTAAAGAGCATGTCGGCCCTCCGAAACCAGGTTTGCAGGTGCAATTATTTGGTGCTGTACATACACCCTGTTTGCATGGTGGAACACATAAAGCTGAAACAATTTAATAAAATTTATTCGAAACTGCATAAATCTTCTATTTTATTACACAAAAAAAACTCAAAAAACATAGGAAATTTTATGTTTTTTGAACTTAACACCGAAAATTCCGCTTGTATTTAAATGATTCATATGAATATATGTAATTAATAGAATTCACCTGAATGTTTCTGATCACTTTTATTACCCATAATTGAATAAATTGCAAATTTTAAAGAGTAGTAAACTAGCTAGAATAGTTAAACATATTCTAGACTAAGTAATTTTTTGTACTTACAACAAGCCAATGATTTCGTTAATAAGTTATGAGGTAAAAGAATAAGATTCATATTCAACATAACAATAAAATATGAATCCTTCAAGTAAGAACTTTGTGCAATTATAATTATTAGTATTTTACTTAACTTTTAATTATTAATATTCAGTTACTTCCATTGATTTGTTAAATTACTGCATTATTATTCTGTGGATTATTTAAGGAGAGACAATATTATTCTCCAATGAAACTTACGAATGCAAGTGTCATTAGCGGTTTGTGTATAGCCATCACAACACTGCTTTACATACGCTGTTACAATTTTTGGCACTTTTCGATATTCTTTCAGTATACCTAATTAATTAGAGAAAATTTTAAACATTATATATTTCCATTTTTTAATTAAAAAAAGTTACACCAAAAGTTTCCAAACTTGTATAGATTTTAAACCAAAACTTCAACTAACACAAAAATTACGATCTAACATGTCAATCTGCAACATTGGTCGCACTACTTATTGCTGACCCATATTAGCCTGATATATTGAGGGACCAATCCCAGTCTGGTATTTAAAATGAATATATTCCTCTAAATCATTTTTGAAATTGACATTTTGATGAAGTTTTCAAGAAACTGAAAAAAAAATTTTTAATGAACTATTTGTTTGATAAATTGTGAAATAATCCACAACGAATATTTATTCAATTTTATCGCATTTAAAACCTTTAGTAGTATCGTTGCACCAAACAGTCGTCTTATATGGCACCTTCTGAATATATTTCTTTAATTCTTTCCTAAAATTATTTTCATAATCATTTCCACTTTCCTCTTCGGGAAGACCACGTATGCTAACGTACGTTTACACTTATCTGATTTTAAAATGCCATTTGCTATTGCATTCCCAAACATGAAATCAATGAGACGTTCCTACTTCTGCTGGATATTCAAAAATTATTCTTCCCAAATTTGTTTTTGATATCATTTGAAATAGGAAAAATGTGTTTTCCAGCAGGTTCCGCAATGAACATTTAGGAATGGTTTTCCTCCAAATTCAAAAAATAGTTTTTTGAATATTTCGAAAGAAGTTGCGACAAAATTAATTTGAACTCTTCATTCATAATAAGCAAAACAAAGGACACAAATGTGCTCATTAAATAAATGAATTTAAAAAGTTCTCAAAGATTGTTCAACTACAATTAATAAACTAGGCAGAGCGTTTTAAAAAATTAACTTACTGGACAGGTACTGTGCACACATTGTCTCCTGTTGGTTCACCACAATAAACAAGTTTGACAAAGATAGCAATAGGAAATAATTTAAATAAGTGATACATGAAATTGATAACTGAAAGCAAGGAATAACTGTTTATAAGTTATAAAAATTTCGCAAACATTAATCAACAATATCAAACAATAATGAATGACAATTATTCATAGCACTGTTAAGGTTAAGGACAGTTTAAGTATAGAAATAAACTTTTAGCCGATATTTTAACAATTTCGTTCTTAACTTAGTTCAATTAAAACTTTGTTCAATTTGATGTTACTCAAATTGTTTCAATTAAATGACGTGTAATAAGAGTGATCAATATTCAAATAGTTTTGATATATTAAAATGCATAGTCATTTCTAATTTGTGTATTAATAATTTAGCATTTTAAGATAGTTCAAAAATTTAACAAATTTAATAATAAACATTTAAAAAATAGAGCTTTCAAAAGTAATGTGGAAGAACGAAAATAATGAATGGGCAAATGTGGCGACGTTTTTTTGATTCAATTACAGCCTAAAAACATTATGACACAACCGAAACGGACCTAACACATCAATAATATTATGAGGCAAATATTTCCGAAAAAAATAATTGTCGCCACAGAAAACAACAAATGTATCAGAAACATTCGCATTAAATTGAATTATCAAAGAGTTGAAATAAATTCAATTGATGAGATTTTCATGTCAGCGACATGAAAATCTGAATTAGAAAGAACACAAATTTGCTATTATGTGATCACCATCGACCGATCAAATCGTACATGAATTTAATTTCCGTCATCTTTCTAATATTTCCAAATGAAAGGTTAACTTAGTAAAGAATTTTAAACTAATTTAAGTGATTGTTCGAAAAATGGAAGTGAATATTAGAAAATATAAAAATGTCGGAAAAAAAATTTATTCATACAATTTGAGGGAAGAGAAGATGAAGATGATATGAAAAATGATCCATTTTTGTATAACAAATTTCTAATGAGAAAATGTTCTAAGATTGATTATCTTTCACCAATTTTGTACGGTGAAATGGTTCCGCGAGTATGCACTATTATTAAAATAATAATTGCAGGAGTTGCGAAACAGTTTAGAATAACAAATTTGTAATGAGAGATGAGAAAACATTTAATTAAAATTATCAACGAATGAAGAGTGGTTGAAAAATGAAAATTCATGTTTACAGTAATTCTAATTTTCTTTCCTTTGATCATTTGATACCCATATATATATGGGCGAAATTTAATTTCAAAATTCCTACTGATTAGATGATACTTCATAACAATACTATTCGATGATATTCCATATTGATAATATAAATGCATCACAATCTATTAAAGAAGGAGTTTGATAAATTTATATTATACAACAGTACAACAAGATATACTATGAAAATTATTTTCCAATTTTCCCGATTGTTAATATCTAATTGATAGCAAAAATAGACCGTAATTTCTTAAACTATCAAAATCCTCAATTCGATTGGGACACAAATTTTCTCGTTTTAACTAGGCAAATCTATTATCAATAAATTCATAAATGTCGCACAGATAAAATTTTTTTTTACTAACAAATGATATTTTAATTCTTTTTCTGCGATTTTTATGAAGGTTTTCGAGATCTTTGTTCGTCATTTAACAATGAGAAAAAGGAATTAAATACAACAGTTTTCAATAAAATGCAAATAACGTTTTTTGCAGTGCAGTCTGCAATATACCAAAGATTGTCGAATTGAATTGAATTGAATTGAATGAATGAATGAATAGATGAATTGATGTTATTAATATTGTCGGCTTTAATACGTATGATATTTAAATAAAAATTCTTTTTATTTCATTTGTTGTCTGAAATCACACTTTGATATTATTTGTCATATTATCACATCAAATTAACTATAATTGTGATAGTAAAGAATACAATTTAATCAAAATTCTCATTTAAACACTTTTCAATCCATATAAAATAATATACTTTTCCAGGAAGGATGAAAAAAAAGCTGTGAATTAGATAAATTCGGGAATGTTAAATGTGAAATGTATGGCTAAATACTTTTCAAATGCATTAAAATCTAGCATTTTCCTCAACCCAAATTCATTCATATTTATTATCCAAAAAAAAATTGATTAAATAGATATGATGCCATCAACCTCTTTACAATGATGTCATCAAAATTAGCATTTGATAATTTTTTTTCCGAAATTTAAATTTGAAAATGCACAAAAAAATTTTATAAAATACCTCTCATAGAATTTTAACAATTTCATGACAAAAAAAAAAAAACGGAAAAAAATGAATAGAATCTGACGGTTCACATATAAATGATACCAATTTCAACCAACACAATAGCAAAAACTACAGATAATCGGTTCGATGAGAAACGATGTGAAAATAAATTGAAATGTCTCTTTCCAGCGAATTCTCTCTACCCTCACAGAATAGTTGAAATTTTAAAGGCTTTCCTACAACATGAAGCAGATACTATCAGATGTCTGCTTCATATCGTCAAATTGAAAGATTTGAAAGGTATGGTATTCATTATTGTACCGCCGAAATCGAACTTTCATTCAAACAATGAAGGATCAAATTGAAAAACAATCTGATCTTTTGGCCATAACGTGATCAACAATATTCCGTCAAACTTTCCCCTAAACTTTCTTCCACATTTAAAAACTAATTAGTAATTTTGTGAAAAAAAGTTTTCAGAAGAAAAAAAGAATATAATTCAATAGCTTTAAAAGAAAACATGAAATATTTATAAATCTTGCAGTTATTCTAATTTTAACATCTTAACATTATATCATTCAATAATTTCCTTAATATTTTTAATGGAAATCTGCAATTAGACAAAAAAGTATTTATAGAATAATTCAAAACTGAGAAGGTTCCGTCTAAAAATGTTTTTATACTCACGAATATTAAAAATATTCACATTATATCATTCAATAATTTCCTTAATATATTGAATAGTTTGGTTTATATATCACAAAAGAATTAAGATTCGATTTTTATTTTATTTTTATGAAGTGCTAATGGTAGCATGGAACATTCTAATGCTGATCAGAATGAAGCATTCATAAATGAACGTAAATTCTTCATTTTTAGACGATTTATTCAAGAATTCCGTTAATGCCGTCTGAAATATTTTTGATTTTCCCAACTGATTTTGTTACATGTATTGAATAGTATAGCATAGCATGAGGCTATGGAATAGAGTTTTTTCTTAAATGAAATAATATGCTTAAACCAATTTCATCGATATTGTTGACAGGAATCGTTCATCATGTTCAATATCCCATTTCATTATTTTATAATGTACAGTACCATGTTGTTATACATCTTCTCTCATTTATACTTCATTTCCGCTATATTTTACTGTTCCATATTAATTTAATCTTTACAAATATACAAAACAAGAATTTTAGATCCTGAGTAGCAAAATTTTTAATTTTCAGCACAATTTTTAATAGCTTTCTAAAAGTTAGTGATCCAAAAGAAAATGATTCAGAAAATGATTAGGTAATAATTAGAGCATCATCCGACAAAATAAAAAAACAAATTAAGAGTTCAGAAATCAGGTTCAAAAAATCGATCCATCTGGACATTTACTGAAAAATTTTTTTTCGCTTCATTTTAAAATGATTCTTTACAGCAAGTGCCTGTATACTGCAATCTCAATCATATTGATATCACATCTTTAAACCATGCGTGTGTAAATATGCAACATTTCCGTTTGTCTCGATAAGTTGTACTAATATTCGATGCTATGATGGCTCAATATTTTTATCAGACTATTCAATGAAAAGAAAAGCCCAAAACACTTATTTGAAAGTACTTGCTTTAATCAATTGTAATTAACCTCTAAAACCTGTTAAAATTTCAATATTTTCTTATGATCACATATCTGAACGAACTTGAACTACGGGTGCTTGTGCAGGATGTCGCATTGATGGAGTTCGCCGCCACAACGTAGATTCCCTACTACTACGTTGCGTATATTCGCCATCGGCAAGCACTTGTCGTGGGACCGACGAACCATGAAATTCAATTTCAAACTGAAAAAATTGCTGATTTTATGGCTTGTAATCCAAAAGAAAATTTTGCGGAAAGTTGAGCCTATAATGATGAAAAATCAACGGAAAAAAATCAGAATACATATTAGCAATTACTACCAACCTTAGTTGCACAAACAAAACAAGCAGTAACAAGTTTAGCAATCTCATTCATTAGATTCTTTGTTTCCTGTATCACCGAATCAACCTGCAAAATACCTTCATTTCAGAACAAAAAAGCTGGCACTCATTGTTGTATTGAAACCAGGTTTAACTAGTTTTTATCAAGCACGACAACATTTATTTTCAAACTTTAAATTAGTCAAAAGAAAATCTAAATACTAACTAAAGTCAGAAAAACAGAAAGTTCACGGTTTAGTTAGAAGTTAAGAAGTTCTGAAAGTGCAAGGCTTAACATTAAATGTTGAAAGTATTCAGAGAGTAAGCTTGTGAAAGAAAATCGAAATTTCATTGTAATTGAAATCAGATGTATTTTTCATTAGTACAATCATTGGCTAATAACGACAACATATGAAAGTTACTTTGGAAAATGTTGCTGGTTTACCAATTGTTGGACTTTTCACAAGTACTTGTAATTGCTGACAATGTATCGGTATTTTCTCCAGAATTGTCGACAGATCGTTTTTCTCAGCACTTCCCGGTACCTAAAATCATAGATTATATTAAGCTAAAAGGATAACATCAGAAACTACTGACATAATATTATATCAGGATTATTATTATTGCATTATAGCTTTTACAATTATTCCTATAAGTGTTATTATCATATTACTATCGTTTATTTCTCTCTAAAAATAAAACCTAAAGAGGTACCTCATAAGAAAATTCTCGAACTGTTTTATACATTTTGTTTGCTTGTTCTGCAAAAAATTCTGCTTGTGTGAAAAGATCATGTGTTGTTTTTAGTGGTCCATCACCTCTCGTGAAAAGGTACATATTGTAAGCCATGGAAGACATTGCTTTCGCTCGCTTAACAATATCATTTTCTGCATATTCATCCCATTTTTCTGCTTCTGCATCCACTTCAGAAGTCAAAAGTTTCATTTCCAATCCAACTTTTGCTATCTTCTGCTGATCCTAAAAACGATTAAAATTTCAAAAAATGAGTCGCATCTTTTATTCTTATTAACTAAGAATAGATAAAATAATTGAACCTATCAGAGTAATGCATTACCAGACTAAGTGAATACTTCCTATTTAGAGTTATTTGATTTATATGCTTTTCGATTTTCACTCTCTAGATCTTTCTTATAACAAAAATTGGACAGAACAATCAGATTTCCATCCTCATATTGATAATATGATTAGACATAACTTACTTCCACATCAAGTGTAATTGGTTTAGTTGGCTTTTGTGTCGTTCCATGCTTCTGAAAATGAATGAGCTGTGAAATGAAAATACACGAAAATCCTAAATATTTGAAGCAATCATCTCTCGAACAATTTCCAATCTGGCAACTTCGATAGCCTCATTGCCTTGTCTATGATAAAAGTTTAGCTAACGTGATTACGGTTTATCAAACAACCAAAAAGACATTTTTTGAAGTCACTACTGCCGACAATAATGGATATGTACTGATATTTTATTAGCCATCACAAGACCGATCAATGACTTTTCCTTTTAATGACAATGATCAGAAGGCTAGCAGTAATCATTTGCAAATATAACAACGGCTGTGCGATTAAATTAAGACTGAAATTAGAGATATAGGAATGGACCTCGTATAATCACCAGAGATGTTACTCAACTTTACCGTCCTGCAGATACTTATTTGATTTTCTTCGCGTGATTTTCCATCGGTCATTAGGTTTTTTGTTCAAACCCTGACAAGTTTTGATCATAACATTTTTTATTTCAGAATTTATGATTAAATATATAAATATATATGTATTAGCCATTTTACATGCATCACATCATATAGCACACAGTGATTTACACACAGCAAACAACACCAATGGAAGGTTTTAGAGAAAATGGTTAAACTTCAGACAACCAGCAATTTGAATAGATTAAACCTCACTCTTCTTGAACTACAAGCTTCAGGTCACACACCCGAAAGTTTCAGATGTAGCAAGATCATAATTATTGACTTCAGTTCCTGCATTCAACTTTTTGTCCTATAATCAGTACCCGGGATTAGACATGCAAACCAATGGTATTGTTGAAAATCGGTATAATGCTAGCACCATAATAATTTTTCCAAATTTTTGTAATAAAGTATAAAATTCGAAAGTTTGACACAGTAGCAATAGACCATGAAGTAATCATAAAGCTCCATGCAAATCATTTTACAACACTAAACAGTACAAGTATCTACAATAATTTAGTGATAACCTAAAATGTCCACAGCGCTCATAAAAGTCTGCCGCGACAATCTGCTGATTAATAAAGTAACTGTGAGCTATTAGATATGTGCATAAATAAATACTGCTTCCTGTACTGACTAGTTCGATTCTTGAAGAGGATGATTACAGCAGTAAGTGAATATCACGAGTCCCTACGTAGAAGGCAGGAATTTTAAGTACCGGAATTAGATACTGAAAAAAAGGAACTTGCAAAATAAAATATTTCATGACACCTACGTAATTTGAAGCAAAAAGTTTTGAAAAATAAACAAATCAATAGTACAAAATATAAACATCTAAATAGAAATGAGAAATCTGCAAATTTAACTAAAATTCCCAAATTCATTGCTATCCAAACATCTGGCATAATTTTTTATACGTAAGTTAGGAGAGCTTATGTTTTAATATAATAAATAAAACAAAATAAAAGTCGAAATTAAAAAACCTGTAAAAGAGTAAGTGACGACCACAACGAGAACATACGGCAAATTTAATACAACACATATAATAATAATTATTAATATGTTGGCAAAATGCATTAAGTATACAATTTTTACGATGTTGCACAAAAAGAGGCCAAAAATCTCATGCAAAAGCAAAACTTTACTGATAAAACCATTACACACTGCAAAATAAAATTCAGACGTTCTGCAAACTAAATTTGGATTCAAAATAATTATGGCTTTCTAAATCGAAAAGACTTTCTTATTACTTTGTTCTGTGTTTAGGAAGAGGCGGTGGCGTTGAATCTTGAACATGCATCTTACTTACTTCATCCTGTAAATCATCCAGTACACACTGAAAATTTACATCCGCGGTAAACGGTTTACTTGTGCTTGCCACCGAAATAGTAGACGAAGAGTTAGTGTTTTCAACGAATCGATGGAATTGATCCATAGGTTCTAGAGCACCCTTCAAATGTCTGCTCAATACCCAACTATTTGAATGAAATTTATCTTCCAGTTGTGAATAGGAGGATGTGGAATATTTCGGGAAAGAAAGATTAGATGAACGATCTGAGATTGGTGATGAAGTGGCAGATAAAGATGGTATATAGTCAGTTTGACGGCTACCTATAATCGACTGACTTACCCCTGGCCTAGGCAGCGACATATAAGCTTGTTTTTCTGCTACTAAACGACCGCTTGCTGCTGCATCCGTTTCTTTTGCCAGTCTGGACAAATCATTAACACACTGTGCCCACGTGTCACAAAAAACTTCAACGTTCTCTCGTGCTATACGTGATGACGGATGTATGCACAGCGTGCGACCAGCCAACAATGTCTTCAACCATAATTATTCAAATGACTCTATTAAGAAATAATTTCTTTTCCTCAAAATATTTTAGATCTCTGAAAAAATGTAAACCAAGTCAATGTAAAGTAATGTTACTTTTTGAAATAATGTTGTGAAAATGAAACGCACCAGTGGAGCAAGAGATCGTAAGTTCCGTTCGGCGTGGCCTGTGGCAACATGTAAACCATCCGTTAACGATATATGATGTAACAGTCGACACACCCAAATTAAAATCGATTATACAAAGTCTAGTTTCCCAGACAGCAAATGTTATATAAATCTAACAAAGAAATTAAGAGACCAAGGCGATGTATAACTATACTATATTAAGCAAATGGATCAGGCTAACAGTAATTCTTCAGTTAGATGTAAAATGAAATTTTCAAATAAATTTAAGTTACTTCTTGTATATGTTCTGCATGTTCACGAAATTCTTCAAGAAATTTTTCAACACCGTCAATATCACCGGAAACAGAGCACGTTTTTATAGATGACAAAATTACTTGGTCTTCATTGGTACGCAGTACTTCTGAGATCTGTAAAACAAGAAAGGAGATAACAAATTAGAACGACATTGTGTGTGCCAATAAAATTAATGAAAATTTTATAAAATACTTACTTGTTCCATAGCTACAATTTGCAGCTGTTTCCTGAGATTCTTCAGTCTTCGAGTAAACCTCTCCACACTCACTTCGATACTTTCATTCCTTAAAGGCTCATCGGCAACCTGAATTATATGTTAATTTAATCATGTTAAAGTAGTAATTAAAACATTAAAAAAAAGCGATAAGTAAACTTAGGAAAATGCCATATATTGAATGATTAGGAAAAACTACCATATTGAATAAATAAATAGCTAAGACCGTATATGAGCTTGTTTACTAAGATTATACGAAATAATAGCCTGTAGATAAGGAATGAAATCATTTCGTATAACCTAATTGGCTAAAATACTGGTGACTTTATCATACTGAAAGCACAGTAATATTTTTCTGTTTTATTTGAAACTTGGAAAAATACTCTTCTCGTTTTCAACAGCTATGGAGTGTTGGTCGGATTTTGTGAATGATATGTATGATAAGTAAATAGCTGTCAAAAATAATTTCAGAATGCAGTTTCAAACGTTAATTATTTTTATGTGAAAAATGACTTACATCAGGCTGTATAAGATTTGTCAATTCAAATCGACATTCTTCCAAGAAATCCAAAATCTGCTCACGATGATGATGTGGAGTGTAGGCTGAATCGGTAAAATCCTGAGTTATTTCACACAAAGAATCCAAAGCGCTTATCAATCGTTCCCTTGTACCAGTTCCAATGTTACATGTTATCCGTACCATTTCCAACATTTCCTAAAAAATAGAAGAGCTGAAGAATTTCATAACCTTCGAAAAATGATAATGATAAGTCAAAGATTTAAATAAAAATATTAACATTTACACAAAAATCATTAACTTCTGAAATATATAGTCCATTGTTATAGTTTGAAAGCAGAAAATACCATTAGCTGCCTAATAGCTGCATTGGCAGTTAGTTGCATTCCAATATCTAAAACTTCTTCACTGGATGGTAATGCAAAATGTGATGCATCAAAGTGCATTACACCATCGGAAACGCAAAGTGCGATCAACTGAAGAGCCAAACGCATCTGAAAATGACTGATACATAAATTTATTACTATAGCAACATCACCTATGACAATATATTCCTTTAAGCTCCTTTAATAATAAACATTTGTTTTTCATATTCAAAATTATCTGAAGAAAATATCTCAACAACCTGTTGAAAAACTCCATTTCGACATTGACGCGCGCTTTCGCTATCCGGATGCCTTAAAAGTGTTTTATTTGAGGTTAACAGCAACATTGTCAACCTTTCCAACATTGTACGTGCTACCGCCATTTGTCCGCGACGTTTTTCACTTTTTAAATCATTCTGCCGATCGCCTGAGCGATGAGCCAAATCAACCATATCACCACCAAATTCGGTGAAAATTTTTACAAAATCCGTGAAATTTGTTGTATTTTCTAATTTTACCAGTGAATATGCTATCTGTAATAAATAAGTTTTTAATCTTTCCCAACTTTCGCTACTAGATTAAAAAAACTCGGAATTTTCTTTACCTGAAGTTTCGAAGAAATATCAAACTACTACAAAATTCTAAAAGTGATGTTCTAAGCAATTTTTAAAGAAAAATTAAACTTGAACTCTACCTTATCTTCAGACCTAAGAATATGTTTGACAAGTACACGATCAGCTAACAAAAGAACTCGCGTTACAGAAGTTAAAAGTTGTCGCGCAGCTCGTACAAGAACAGATTTATCAATTGCAATACCCGAATCATCCGTTAAACAACCATTCAAATTTGCTATTGAAGCCCCTGCAAACTGATTAAAAATTTCAACAAATTTTAAAAATTATTCCGCCCACTACAGAATGGTACAAAATAAAACGGAAAATTCCCATTACCATGCAATTCTCTAAATGACCGCAGGGTGCGGACTTAGCAAGAAATAACGATTCAAATCTCTAATTATAAAGATTTCTTCCCAGTGAACTGTTTGAAAAAACTGCTTTTTAAAAAAAATTAGAAGTTTGACTGTTAGATAGGCAACACATTTTTCATATTACTACCTGCAAGTCGAGCTTCGTGACATGCATCGTACATTTCAGGTTGCACATCTGGATTTTCATCAGCAATTGTTTCACCAACTACTACAAACCGTTCAATAGCTGCTTCTACTGCTGATCCTATCTAAAAATATATAAAACCAACTTTTGAAACAAAAAAATTATACAAAGTGCACCCCATCGACATAAAAAGTACAAACAAATTGAAAAAGATTATTGCAAGGATTAAAAACTATCTGATATTTGAAGCTAACACAAAATTCATATTAAAATAGTTTCGCTCTCAATATATTGTCAAGAAGATCTCGTTTTGCTATTACATTATGAGAAGAAAAGAAATTAACTACTTTTAGAGCCGAACGAAGAGCTTTTTCAGATCGTTTTTTGCCACTTGACAAGTAATTCTCCTTGAAATTCACAAGCGTTGTTATCTGAAAAAAAAATTTGACAATTTCGAAAAGAAAAAAAAAACAAAGAACCATTTAAATAGCAAACACATAATGAAATGCATGCAAAGATGTCACTAACCTCTCCTGTACAAACCCAGATTGCTTATTTACAGGAAATCAAACAGATCAAAGTATTAAATATGCCTAAAGAACTTTTAAATCATTTAAAATATTGATTGTTAAAATGCTAAACAAGTTATAGAAACATTTTCGACTCTTTGTCACTTTCTATGTTCAAATATATGAAAATAAAAAGGCAAATTTTTGTAACTTATTTTATAATAAATATATAGACAACTCCCAAAAACTGCTAGTAGTGCTCAAAGCATCAAATCAGGAAAACATGAATTACAGTTATAGGAGCAATAACTTTTCAAATATGAAATTTAGTATTAAATTGGTAAAAAAATTACTTTTTGAATTCTTTTTGAAATTCTAGACAACACTAATATATTTATTTGAAGTAACAATAAAACACTGCATTTTTTCCTGATTAAATTACGTAAAGAAACAGATGGAAATTGCAGGACCTTATAAATCAGTGGATAATGATAATGATATAATAATAATAATACAGTAAATGAACTTTAACCTGAGTTACAAGCGGGACAAGAGTTTGCTCTACCGATTTTGTTTTGATTTCAAGGCTTTGCGGATCGAACGCATATGATGCGTTTACTGTACCATTTGTTAGCGTACTACTCATAGCTCTTACTTCCTTCACGAATGCATTAGCTTCAAGCGTCACTTCGAATATTACATATCAATTAAGTCTTACTGAAAAGACAACTTTAAAACGTATGCATGCACACACACACACACACAAACATACACGTAAGCCAAATCATATGCTACGAATTTAAAGAAAATTAAAGACGCTACTACTGAAAATAACGAATTAATGCCGAAGTTTTCTGCAGCAACTGTAGCAAGAAATATGAAAGTTACAAATCTATAGCAATAAATGAACAAGAGTGATACCACTCAAGAAGGACTATGGATTCCATTTAAAATATATAGTTTTCAGTTTGAATAAGGAAATCCAAAATTAATATATTATTGATCATAACAGAATAAACTTAAGAATCGAATCATGGCTTAATTTATAATCCATGTTAATTCATTTATTGGTTTGGCTAATCTACAACTAATCGGAGTTTTTTACTCCCGAGTAATTCATTCAGCTAACATAAACCTTGGCTTACATTAAAATTTTTTAAATGAACTTATCAAGCTTTTTTACTTTCGAACTCTATGACTTGTCTATTTGATCAGTCATACAAAAAAAAGAAACGAAAACTAGAAGATAAAAACCAAAAAGAATAACAGTACACATCGGTAGAATAAATATACAGTTGCAGTGAAAAATAAAATAGTTAACACATAACTGAATACACATTTCTTCTCACAGGAATGATACATTAACAAAATGATCGGCACGGAATAAACTGATAAGACGAAAAAGTCCCGTAACTAATTAAATAAACATATCTCTTCCATACAGTACGTGAAATACTCTTTACGTATGGGCCTCTTACATGATCAAGCACAACTGTAAACAATGATATGAGACAGAAAGAGAAAACATGTCACAAATATCGGCAATTTATTAAACTTTCTTTACACACATATTTGAAAATAACAAAAATGAACAAACAACAAATGGAGTAAACGGTGGATGAAATGTGATAAAGTTCTGGTATGATAATCACGAGGTACTCCGAGATGACGACCTATAGTTCATCGAGAATGTCAACAAATGTTCCACATCATCTGGCGGATGAGAATAATGGAAGAATGAAAGCTCTGCCTACCGTCTTCATCCTTTCCGCTTCCTTTTTTTCTTTTCAACTCTCTCATTAACGTCCGTTTTTTCAATTGGAAAGAATGACGCATTTCTTTTCTTCTATCAATCGAATATTCATCAATTTTTCTGATCATTCAGTTATCGACGATCAATATGGATCAAGTAAATTTGTTATCTCATTAATTACATCTTCATGGATATCACCAATTTTGTGTATTTCGTTAGGAAACAAAATTTGATGACAATAAATGTTAGATAACAGATGGTAATACATTTCATCGATGAATCACAGAGAAAAAAAAGAATTTCCAGTTTGTCTTCTCCTTCCTATTCAATCTGTCACTTTAATATATGCATTGGAAAAGGTTAATGACCTAACAATCTAATAACATGTTATAATACTTTGAACTGTTGCTGTACGGTTGAAGTTTACATTCAATTCATACATTTACAAATAAAGGATTTAAAATTTAAGTTATCATTTTATCTTTGATTATTTGCAATATGTTATTTGATATTATGGGGAGCTCCTCGCTGGTAAAATAATTTATTGCCATTAAATTTGAAAAGAATTAAAAGTGAAAATATTTCCCTGCCAAACTGTTACATGCAAATAAAAATAGTTTAACAAAGTAATCATCTCAAAATCAATAGTTCAGTAAGAATATTTGGCAGAGAAAAAAATTTTAGAACAAAGCATAAAATACATATCTTTTTCTTCCTCTTCAATTAATCAATATATATAACCTGAATGAAAGTAATCCGGTTTGGTGAGCATAACTTCTACAATATCTTTCATCCAAATTATTGTTCGCCAATTTTTCTATTCAGTAATTCCTAATTTTTAGTACAAATTTAGGACAAATCTGTCATATTTTATTATAATGCTGGAGAAAATAGACATTTTAAAATATGTATTTTTTTTTAATGAACGGAAAACGATTGGAAATGAAACAAACTTTTTAGTTTTATTTTTGATATGAAAGGACGTGTAACGTGAGAGTTCATGACTTTATTTGGATAACATTGTATGTTACAAACAGTTGAAGATGATAGAGTGCAGCGATTATCATTTAAAATTATGCAAGTTGAAATGGTAGAAAATATCAAAAAGATGGAAAGGAAATGTCGGATGAAATCAAAGTAAACAATCACAAACATTTAGTCATTGTTCATTCTCTGTCGACACTCATCGAGCATCGCAGAATAATAATTAAATTAAAACCATCATTAGTAGAAAGCACACTGCTTTATCAATAATACTATCACTGTTAACAGCATTAGTAGAAAGAGTGGTTATAGTTGTAGTAAACAAAGCAGATGATGGATTAACATCCCTGATTTACGCCCGCTAGAGTTAATGAATTAGTGAAACTAATGACCGTAATCTGAATTGACGGTACCAAATTGTGTGAACTACATAATTAAAAATATGAAACGATCTGTAATTATTTGTTTATTTGTTTGTTTTTTTTCTACCTAATAACATCTCCTCTAAACTTTTCACCTCCTCCACAGTATAAATAATGATTGATTGTTTTCCAGTGTGAAATTAATAATTAGGAAAGATTTGTAAAATTCTTTCTAATTTTTCCCTTTTTTCCATATTCTGCAAAATTTTCCTTTCGTCATAATTAGTCACTTTACATTTATTCGTATCATTTGAAAACGACAATCGTTGTTGTCTAGTAAATATTTTACATCTATATGTTATTAAATAAATGCTTAATAGTTTGATTTTCAGCAAAAGAATATCCAATTCCAGGAATGAAATCACCTGCTAAGTTGAAATATAAATTATTAAATGTATGTCAGGCGATATGATCAAAAAAATATTCTTAAAATCGGAAATTTTTAATCTGAAAAGAAAGTAATTCACTTTCGTTTGAAAAATAATGGAACGTATATCGCTTAAAACAGAAACAGATAAGATATAACGGGAAAATAAGTATGTATAGCATTTTGAAAACTAAATAATATCAAATTTCTTTAAAAATTCAAACATATTTGAATGACGAGATCATTTTTTCATCATAAGTTGCCTTACTTATCGAAAGAATTCAAAATGATAGCTTTATATGTTACTTCTAATCCTAACTTTGGTCATTTATTCCTATTTATTACTTCTATCTTGGGAGAAGAAATTCCAAATTGCAAAACAAATTGATTAACAATTAGTATTTAAGTTTCTTTTCAAATCGTTAGGCTATAATCGATTACATCATAAGATGGATTGTAAACTATAATCGATTGCATACATCATAAGTTTGAAAAATAAGAAGTGGTGAAAGTACTTAAGCAAAAAAGAATTAATGAAAAATTCGTGAACTTTTTACCAAATATAAAAATTAGATTTTTAGAAAACGAAATGAAATATCCGACTATTTTCCCTCTTTTTGGTCTGTTCCTTCTTTAAGCGTTGTCAATTTGCATGCTTTAATAAAATCTTGAAATTTGCTTTGTGGCGAGTTTTTATTTTCCTGAGTATGAATGGAGAGAAAAAAATGTGAAACTTTGATAATTGACTTCAATATCGATTTAGACTTTATGACGCAAATCTACTTTAGTCAAGTTTCACTTTTGGTCTGAAAAAAATACAATAATGAAAAAGAATTCGATATTTTTCTACAAAATAAATTTGTAAAGTTCAGCGAAATCCCTTAGATATTTTTTGATAAGCAGCCACTATTTGTTATTTCAAAATTTATTCTAAAAAACGCTCATGAAATTGAAATAAAACAACTTCAAATAAAAAGTTTGAATTGAACTTCTAAAAGAGAAAATGCTCATTTACGCAGCATCAACGATTGACAAAAAAAATTGATTGGCTCACAGTATTATTGACGAATAATTGATAACTATGCCCGTTTGTTGATCAAAAATAGAATTTTAGGTGGTAAATTTCGATCAGTTAATTTAATTTGTCAATAATACTGTGAGCCAATTAACTTTAAGTTCTAAAAATAACTTTCTAGAATTTTAAACAATTTGACGTTATGCCCTTAAACTTAGACTTAGTTTCTTGTTTTTTACGAACTGGGACAGTTAATTCTTGAAATTTAACAAAGAAGAATATGATTGCAATTAATGATAGATGCAACTATAACTTTCATAGACCAAAAATGAACCTTAGATGATAACTTTATTATCAGTCTTTTGTAACTTCATGCCAATTTGTTACTCCCAGTCTTCTAAGTCAACAGCCAGTTAAATGGCGATCAGGAATGGATTGTTATAATTCTATGATGACGAAGGGATCAGATGTCATAAGCCATATCGAATAAACATGGTAAGGCTAATGAGAAGTTAAACTTTCTAATTTGTTATTCTATCGTTTTCATCAGTATTGCATGACCCTTGAGTAACACAAAATTTTGACATGGAATTTTTAACTTAAGATTGAAATTGAGATGCTCTCTAGCTATCTAAGCTTTTGTATTTTGCAATCCAGCAGTGAACTTATAGCTGGGTAAATAGAAAATTCGCATTTTCTGTATTCATTTACTGGTAAAATATCTAATTTGTTTAAACAAATTTATTTTACTCATTAGTCAAAGCCGCCAAAATATGAGAGCACCATTCTGACCAAAATAATTTTAAAGGAAGAATTTCAAACTACAAACATTTGGATTGTAAATGCTACTCTAATTTGTTGCATTTTTCTAAATTAATTAATCATCTCTCCCCAAAAAAAAAGAGAAAAAAATCACAATGTATTGTTTATGTGTTTGATTACCCACAGCTTTTAATAAAAATTTAGAGATCCATCAATAAATTATTCAATATATTATGAAAATTGCACATAAAATTTTTTTTAGACATAAAATTAATAAAGGTAGATTGAAGTATAATAACATTTCAGAAGATCAGTTATGTGCGCAGGCAATAATTATTTCTAATACAAACAAAATTAACAAAGGCAGAAATCCAATTGCTGACGGCATTCTTTCAACTTTAAATTGAATTTGTTTACAAATATATATTCCACGCTAATACCAAAATATAATAAGATAATTACCGTTACGGAAGCCACATCCAAAAACAAATAAAGTCTTTGTTGAAGTCGAGTACATGTCCATTCTAAAATTTTCAGGATTTCTATTTAAAGATTTCGAGAAACAATTACTTTATATTAAATCATTTTTGCACTCATAAAATCATATCCTTATTAAATCAATGTCAGTTCGCAAATTAAATTGAATTTTGACCCAACTATGGACGAAAGTTTTTTATATTACCGACTATAAAAAATGAAGTAGTAAAGATCAAATGAGTTAATTTGATTTGAAAAATGAGTAAAAACGTAGTTTAACACGCTGATTAATTTATCATTTCATTCTCAGACAAAAGTTTTGGGAAAAGTTTTGTTTAAAGAAAGAATTGAAATGCAAATAAAAACATTTTTTTTCACGTCGTTTTGGAAACAAACTTTTTTTGAGTCATTTTTCATTTGTTTTTTATAATTACAACATTTACAATTGCAGTAAAAAATTTGCGAGGAAAAGAAAACTTATCCATTGATTTGTTGAATAAAAAAGAATCTCTCTCGCTTATTTCATTTTATGATTAATTGTTTTCTTTCTCAAATAGCAAAAGCAAGAAGCATTCGAAAACTTTTAAATGAAAGTTTAAAAATATATATCGGTAAAACATATTAAAAATATTACTAAAAATATTAGTATTAGTTGTTTTTAACCGAAATTATGCAAAATACTCATCTAAAGTTCCATAACCGTATGCTTTATCAACATACGGTATATGATACTAATACTGTATATCGTATGTTGTATTATATACTCAAATTAAAATGTCTAAAGCAATCATTAAAAAAGATAAAATCTTATGGAGCTTGAGTAAAGCCAAATATATAACATACCACGATTTTTTGCCCAAATTACTTGTCGAAAGAATGAATTGAAGGGTGAAATGAAAGCAATAGATAGCAATAAAATGTAGGAGAAGCAAACGGATAGCATGGTCCATTTTAATTTTTGAAGCTTGTCATCCAAAATTGATAAATAACTGTTAAAACTTGCTTGCACTTCTTTGGCTACTAGTTCCAAATCATTGCTTACAATAAGAGGATATTCTGCAAATGCAAAATGTCCAATAAATGGATTTTAAGCTTTTTAATTTTAAATATTTAAGAGTTTTAAGATTATTTTAAAACCTCATTTATAATTTATAAAATCTTGAACACAATGAAAAACATTAGCTAGTGAATTTTCTCATGATTGTTTCATCTAATGCTTATTATTTGCTCAATTCAGTTACTCAAATCTTTTTACACTCTCTCGCATGAATTTAGAAGAATCTTTCAGAAAAAACATTAATACTGTATTTTGTGAAATAATTACATGAAGTATGATGTTTGTTGTTACAAAAATGGGCATGTCAAAGGTTAAAATATCATTCATTGACTTTTCCTTTGATGAAAAATATACATAAACTACAACTTTTTCATTTTGGCTTTTAATATATGATATATTATTTAAAATAACCTTCATTAAGAGATGTGTCACACTGTCGCCGACACAATTCCAAATCATAGGTACAAAAATCGAGCAATATAGATGGGATTGGTTGTAAGGTGAAGTACCAGCAAATGGTAGCATGCAGGGTACCTGCTGTTACAATTAAACCTAAAGCGAAGTGTATAAAATTGAACCAAATAGGTAATTTAATCAAATTGCTTCGTAATATCTTTTCATTATTTGCATTTGTTTCCGGTGTCACTGAAATGAAAATTGAGTTAGATAATTGATTATGGGAGCTTTTTTGCTATGATAAATATCACAGAAATATTTCAAAACAATATCAATGCCCCATTATGCCACGCTTTAATTGTATCTGTACTTTAAAGAAAATTAAGCAAATTTCGAAGTATAACAAAGCTGCTGCTTCCTTTTTCTGCTTACCATTATCTTCCAGATAATGAATGATGAAATGAATAAAGAATAGCACCTTGATATATTGATATTTTCAAAGGATTTAATACGCATTTTAAATGATATCAAAGTAAACATAACAAAACTTCTTAAAATTTTGAATTCATGTTTTAAAGTTTTTAATTTAAATTCTGAAATTTTAAAATCGAATGCATTTTTAATACATACCAGCAAGCTTATTATGATTTCCTTCACGATATGTAAAATCAATCGTTGCAATTCCACTAATTTCTTCCTTACGCGTCGTTTCACTAATCCAATGCTTATAAAACATTTGTCTTGAATTTTCAATGTCATAGTCATCAAATTGAATCCAATATGCTAGAAAATATGCATAGAAAAAAGATATTGATGAAATTTAATCCTTTATAATAAAATGGTCACATGATATGGTTTAAATTTCAAGATCACTATCCGAACCATTTCCGATTGAAATTTTAAAACTACTTTGCACATTTCTCATCTGAATATTAGTTTTTTTTGAAATGACTTCCTCATTTCAATGATTTAGTTACATAAGGATTTAAGATCCTATTAATAATAAAAAAATCAAACAATAATAAGCAAAGATGAAAGAGCGGAAAAATGTTGATAATTATCTGTGGATGAAAATCATCAAAAGTACCAGAAGAAAAGAAATCAATCCTTTAACATTCCCATAATTTCCAGAATATACATTTATACCTTGTAGAGCAAATATAATTCCAACAATGATGATTACTTTAGTAGTAACTGCGATAATGGCAAAGGTTAACAAATATCCTCTTTCAGATTGTACCATCGATTCTATTTGCAAGTGTCGTAATTTCTTCATTTCCATCATGATTTGCTGATTCATTTGAGCTATTTTATCATCTAAATAAAATCCTATCACTTTTTTAAAATGCATTTTAAATTTCTTTAAATATTTGCCGAGAAAAAAATGAACCTGTCCAATTGAAATTAAAATTATTTGCTGTACATGTAAGGGATAAAATGAAGGTTAAGGAAAAGATTTGAGCAAATCGCATTCAACCGGTTAACAACAATTATTACGTCACCAATAATATCATCTTTTTAAAAACTTTAACTCCGTTAGATTTCATTTTTTATTTGATATATTTATATCAATGAGACAAATGTAGCATTTCAATGCATGTTGTCAAATTTTTAGAGATAAAATATTAATTTATCATTGAAATATACTTTATTAACAAGGCATTAAGCATTATAAAATATTAAAACTTCATTCTCTGTTTGAAAAAGTTCCAACAATTGCTTATAATCTCGACTTTCTTCTTAGTATTTCAATGATAAATTTAATATTCGGCATTAGCTTTAACCAAGCAGAAAAATTATCTGATTCAATAAAATAGTCTGAAATACGATTATTTTATTCTCAGAAGAAATGTCAATTTTGGATTTAGCGTCAGTTTGTGTTTTGATTCCTTTTTTTAATTGTTAGATGAACAACGTCTGATTTTATTTAGCGCTCAAAATATCAATTCCAATTGTTTTTTTTTCGTTCCTCTTATTATTTCCATTGCTTTCTTCCTCATTCCATCCTCATTCAATTCACTCTTTTCAACTTTTTAAAACAGCATTTTTAATTTTGTCCTGTCGTTTATTATCACTCATTTTGATAATATTTCTAATTAGCATTTCTTTCAAAATCCTTGCAAAATGACCAATTAAAGCTTACCATATTCGTTCAGTAAAATCAAAAATGTTTCTGTCATGTCCCTTAATTAGCCAACAAAATCATTTTCCACTGCTAAAGGATGAATTAAGAAATAAAAAAAATATCAACAATATCATTAAGGTTAACATATCAACCTTTCTTACAGGTTACCGTATGACACCGAAGATAAAGTGAATTCCAATCCCTGAATTCATGCATCATGATGACATGATTCTGAATCATAACTCATTTATTCAGATGGATGAATTTCTGGTAATTAAAGCACTTCTCTCTTCTTTAAATTATTACAAAATATAAATTAAATGTTGTAAACCGAAATAAGACTGGAAATTTATTAGCTTTGATATTCTCAGATGTATGATTTGAATTTTCTACAACTCAATTATTCTCCTTCTATCTCGTTCCTCCTCGATAGTAAATGTTTAGACTGCTTTTTTAAATCTATGCACTAATTAAACTTTTGTAATTAAGCTTTTGTAACTTGGTTAGCTGGAAGATACATAACAATGAACGAAATAGCAACCAATCGAATCATTACATAAAACATGCAATTCTTAAACAATAATGTAATAAATTTAAAAATCAATAACTAAAATTAACAAATTCGAAAATAATAGATGAATTAGAAATGATACTAATAACAGATTTGTCATATATTTTCATTTCGCGTTTTATTTACTGAATTTGAATAAAAATTTTTATGAGATATTGATGCCTGAATTTGATTGTTTTATGTACAGGATATCATCTTCAAAATACTGTTTCCGATGATTCTCGTAAAGGTTAAATCGAACCTGAAATAAACTTTATCCATTCTGGAAAAGGAAATCAATATCTAGGCCTATTATAATGCCTCTCAAAAGCTTCCATACATTAAAATATAGCCGTTGAGAGAAAATTGAATAATTGAAAACTGTGAAAATATCGAAAATAAAATTAGCATATGAAAAATACTTCCGATTATTCCACTCAATCATTATTCTTTTTAAATACATTTCATTTCAACAAATGTAAGAATGACTTACAAATTGTTGCGAAGTGTTTTATTGGTAAGAAAAAAGACGCTATCTGTCAGAATGGAAGATTGAGGACTCTTCAAACGTTTTGCTAGCTCTGAAGTGTTTTTTCAATCAAATATTAATAAAGTTAGCATATTACAGATAATACGAGACAGTTTCATCCGGCATATAACGTTTAAATTCGGGCTATGAGAGTGGAATGAAAAAAAATACATCATTTGGAAACTGAATTAAATGTGAGGGATGCGTATTGAATGACCATAATTCTCTCCAAATACGTTTGTTCCAGAAAGATTCCGGTAAGACTTCCCGCACTAAAATAGGCAAGATGATTCTTATATTTAAAATTCCTCCATTTCCCTGATAGGGGTTTCGTGAGGAAAATGCTCGTGGATGGGTGGGACGATGATTTCAATTCCGGGATGAAGGAGTGATTCTCGTGGCGGTTGTGTGGGATATTGCAGTAGGTTGGTAGGGAATTCACTTGTGGATGAGTCATGACTTTTCTTGTTCAAAAATCAATATGTGAGATAGTTAGGGTTAGCATCTGCACCGGAAATTACGTCACATAATGTTTCAGGTCATATACTTCGTTATTAATTAATTAGATTCCAATGTTTTTTATTAATTAGCATGAAATAGAAAGTTAATATTCAAAGAATAATATTTCTAAAAGGATAGTTTTAACTTCTTAGATGCATTAAGGGCATTTAGTATTTTTGAGTTAGTTAACCAAACGGTTTGATGATGGTGAGCTAAAAAAACAAAAGATATTTTCGGATTGCTACAGTCTTGAATAGTTTTTGAAATTTGTTTTGTTTAGTGCTGACGATTTCAAAGAATACGAAAAATGTATTGTTTACAATGGCTAATTCCTGTGCTACTGATACCCAAGCATTGGCTTCATCCAACATTCATTATTGACCAGGCTCTCTTCATGTGGTTTTATGTTGTCGGATTTTTTATGGAAAGAAGGTTTGTCTTTCCATTATTTTATCAATTTTTTATTTATCTGAACCATAAATGGCTAATTTTCGTGATGTTCATACGTAAGCATTGGCTTCATCCAACATTCATAAAAGAGAATCAGGAAATATGCATTATGGACTAATTAATTAGTACTATATAGAATGTTTTTTGTATTTCTTCTAATGCAGTGCAGTTAATTATCCTCTTATTGTGTAATAATGGCATGCCAATGATGACAATGATATATTATAAATTATCATAATTAATATCTTAGAAAGCACGGCAATCAACAAACTTTTATTAATGAGTAATAGTTTTGTGCATTCTTATTTACAGTAATGCGTTTTGCAAAAATGCGTCGAGATTCGAGGATAACGAACGGAAAAAGCATTTCTTACTGCTACGGAAGCATTTTTTCGCTTAGGTAAATATGGTAGATAAGCTTATAATTTGATTTGTCATCTGATTTTTAAGCACTAGTTGTCTAAATCACTGTTAGGTGTTATTGTAAAGATTTGGGCTTTTTCTGCTGACCACAACCCGACAAAGCGATGTTGCAATTTTTGATGTATCTCATCAGCTTACTACTGAGATATAGTGGTCATCGAGATTTAAATGATTCAATACTGTTTATGACTTTTTCATATTTGAAATTTATCTTTGAGAAATATTTTACAGCTTCACCACACAATTGTTGGGTAAAATGTCGCCGATTTTTATGTAATGCAATTCATGTTTATATCCCACTATGAATGAGTAGTGACAGAGTGAGATATGTCAAGAAAAGTGGTTTGTACTGCAATAAGGGGAGAAGCATTTCGAAACTCTTATTATAAGCTCTTATTTATAAAGCTTTTTCATCTTTCCCTGTGTTTTCTATTTTGCCTTTAATGCCGAACAGTTATTGACCACTGGGTTGGCAATTTTTTGCATAATTATCAAAGTCAGCTTTGACGAATTACTTTGCTCCTCAAGTGGTTTGCGGGAGATTAATATTGCAAGGTATCCCTATTGTTTGGTTCCTTTTAAACTCGTTTGAAAAATCGCTCATATCTAGTTTTTGCTTAAATTTCTTTATTTTAAAATGAATATGAAATAAAAATTAGATAATCAGTCAGTCATAAAAACTTGAGGTAACAGGTATATTTTAAAATGATGTATATTGTATATGATACAATCACTTATTCATCGAAATATATATATATTCTTTATTAGATTAATGTCTTTTTTTGCTTTCCCAGAATAAGTTTTTCTGTTGTCCATGTAAATCCACTCCAACGTTATACACTGTCTCATTACTTAATTTTAAAATATTTCATCGAAATTCATGCTAGCGAGCAAAAAACATTAATGAGAAACTCTCCACCTTCACTTCAGTATTCAAAACAACCGATAATAATTTATTTCAATTCTGAAAGCCTAACTCGAAATATCATAATCTATTTGATATTCTCGTTTATGAAATGGAAAGCATTTCGACGAACATTATTTATTCATTCCAGGCCATGCTATATATGCTCCATAATATTCTTCACAGCTATTGGACTATTGTGTTGGAGTGATAGTGATTCTTGCATATTTTGGCCCTCCTGTGATACTGTTTTCAACGGAGAAATGTGTACATATGTTCGCGAGAAAAGGCAATGGCTTTCGTGAAAATTAATCGAAAAAAAGAGTCACTTCATTGTCTTGTTCTTTATTTTTTAACGGGTAGTTTTGCTGCTGATCGAAACACTTGAATGTTTTGTTCCGTGCATTGCAAAATCACATAATTAAACTCAATTTTCACTATACCTGCTCAAAGTAAAATTTCATACTAAAAAAATTATGTTTGATGTGGGCAAATTACTTCCAGGTGTTAAGTGTAAAACAGCAAATGTCAATTTTGTCATTTTTTGAGTAGTTGGACCGATCGTATTATTCATCGATTTCCGAACTTCTTACATGCTATGATTTGGTTATAAATTTAACTTAAATTTCCGTCAGCAGCAGTCTAGCACCCAGAAACATTTTCCCTTGTATTCATTACGTTCCTTAACAGATTTTTGTATGTGTTCCATGTTGTATACTTCATTAGTTCTTACGTATGAATTTGTTCACACAGAATTCTCAGTTATGGAAAAAGAAAATAACGATTCCCAGTATTAACTCCAGGCTCGTTTTAATTTTGATCCTTTTTGCTTAGTGGTCTTGATATTCAACTCAGTCATAAGGTGAATGAGTTTTAAGCCTTCCCCGGAATTATATTACGAATCAAGTTGTTTCAATTATCGTCTGGTTGGTCACCAGCAGCATAATCTGTTTGGGGATATTTTACAAATTCTTGCTATAGTCTTTATATGTATGCAATCATAATTATGGTACCACATTTCTCTTAATTTCTTTAGCTTGTTCAACTTGCCGAAGAACGTTTCTTTTGAATTTCCGTACTAAATTTTGAATAAACTCATACATCGTATTAAAGTCCGTTTGACATTAGGTTCTTCCGTTAAAGCAAAATACGGAAAAATAAAATTATACCTTCGCTGTATGAGGTACATAGTACCATTTATTTGTGGAAATAGCAGTGCGCTTTTACCAAAAACATTATTTCTTAATTCAAAATGACAATTTGATGCTCGAAAACTAACGACAAGGAAGGAAGAAAACAGATGAGCAATGAAATGGAGACAGAGAACTTCAGACTTTTCAACGTATCTCATAGAAGCTAAAAACTTAACAGCTGATAAATATTTTTAAAATCATCAAATACACAAGGAACTGCAAGCACAATTTGCAGAATCAATCGGAGCGAACAGATCACAAACATAAACAACATTACTGATACATTAAAACTTCAAAAAAAGGTACGTGTGAAATCTAAAGAGTAACCGCATAAAGAGTAAGTAACCTCATTTTCCTTAAACTATTTCATAAAATGTGTGAAATTTAATTTTGTTATCCTGTAAGAAATTTCCTGACAAGTACGACACAAAATCGAAGATTGTCGTTTACCATGATGAATCTGTCTAATAACTGATTTCGAAATGCCTATAATATGCATTTTTAAATGATTTCCCTGCGAGCAACTTTATGACTGCTCATTTCATTTTCATACCTATTGCCAAAAAGTACAGCAAAAATCTCACACTCGATATAAGGTATATTGCTCCTCATATCACATAAAGCAACAGAAGGTAGTACACTTGAAAATTTTGAAATATTCTTGTTTCTTGATAAGTTCCTGAAATATTTATCTTAAAATAATGGAACGTAAGATGAAAGAAGCCATAGATATGTATGAAGCCAAAATCTACTTAAGAGCAAAAGATAAGGAAATGGACAGATCACACGCATAGTAATATATTACCATTTAATCTTAACAAGGTAATGGAAATGTAACAGACTACCAATAGAATGGAAAAAAGGGAAAAGGGAAAGCAGTGAAGGGAACGAGGAGAAAGGGAAAAGAAGGTCACTTTACTAAAGAAATCCATAAAATATAAAACAGTGCTGAAAATACGATGCTCATAGCTGTGGCTAATGTAAACAATAGTATAAATGATACATATCATCAAGCACATTGATGATAGTAATACTTGCGCTATGGCATGTCCGGCTTCATCATATGGCAACAGCGAAAACGTTAACAATTGTCACAACCGATTTGTTTTCCCATCGAACTGTGAAAGACACTGAAAAGAAAAACATAAATTGCTTTCAGCAGTAGAATCTAAAGAAAGCAATTACAGTGACATAATGACTTACGAATGAAAATTCTATATTTCACTATGAACACAATCCAAAGAAATTAACTAATGAAATAACAGAAAAGAATTCCGAAAATACTTACGGTCAGTTGCTTTATCCCAGTAGCAAGTGCTAGACACGCTCAGACCTGCACCGGTATTTGTCTGCATAATCACACAGGTTACTGAAAAAAAAGGTAGCAATAATTAAGGTTTGGATTAATAACAAAGAACACAAATATAGAGACAAGAAATACAATGAAGAATTTCCCAAAGGCTTGATCATTCTAAAAGTCCACCGATTAAGATGTCTGATGAAAGAAATACAAAAGGGAACGTCGGTAAAATTAACTGAGTACTTACCAATGTATTTGTATGGCTTGTTGAGCTTCACCAGATTAGTGGTAATTGTTTCTACAGCCTGCTGGCTCCATTGATTTGTTGTAACATGCCAGTATGGACTGTTACCAATTATATTATCCAAAGCCTAAAGAATATTTTTGCATTTTATTGGTCACTTTCAAATGTCGAGATAAATAACCGTTTCCTAGTAATATATTTAATCTTGAATTTAAAAATTTTTAAAGGAAAATCAGATAGATGAGAACTATGCACTTAATTGTAACCCGCTTTATACAGTGAAAAAAAAATGTTGAATAGACTAACCTCTTTGCTAATACTTTGAACTTCCTGACTGAGAGGTACTAAGTGGGAAGCAGAATTCTGAAATTCAGGTGCAATTCATTTATTGAGCTCATTTATTAGTATCAAAATATTTCTCCAGTAGTTAAAAATGATATAATTGTAAGCACTGGAAGACTTTTTTAGAAAATAAAATTAGAAACATCCTGAATTCTAAGGAAAACAAATATTACTAACCTCAACAGGATGCGCGTCGCCCATCATCATTCAGCAGTTTATAAGTTACAAATTACCGAAAATACTGAAACACGTTGGATCGTTTCCCCTAAACAACACTTTCATCCTGCACGGTATACGTAACCTTTTTAAAAACTAACGTCTATAAAAGTGTACAACTCTTCAAAATTTTTTGCCCTTCCATGCATCTTCGGAAAAATAAGCTAATCAATGAAAATGTGAAAATTTTCCTTGCCTCTTTTGACGTTTCAGCAAAAGAAATAAAAATGGTGTCATAACCAAAGAGAACATCTAAGAGATAATTACACTATTTACTAGTTTATTTCATGGATTGATATAATTGCAAATATTGCAAATGTACCATGACACTTCTGAGTTACTGAAATGAAAATATCATGGTAAAATTTTTCTAGCTATAATTTCCAATTAGTCCCTCCTCACGATTGCTGAATGATTACAAATGCCTATCATTGACGAATCATTTGTATTTATTTACCTGTATAACAATGAACCTAAATTTAATATGCTCAGGATAAAAGAGGATTCGAACAGACAGTGCAAAATGAAACAAAAACAGTGAGACAGTAAGTCAGCTCCAACAGCTTTAAAAAGAAAAAATTTGCTGCATATTTTTTTCAGTATAATATTATGAGGAAAAAATTCCGTTGACTGGAAAATAAAAATTAATAAAGATAAAACAAAAAATGAATTGAATAAGAATAATAAAAAAAGATTATAGGATTATGAATTTATCCTTCTTTCTCGTATTCAACGTGACTGAGAGTTGATTTTATTGCCTTAGCCAGTTCGGGGGTTGAGGTGCAGAGAACTCGACGGCTCATAATGTCAAATTCGATTCCTGCAATACTTGACTGCTTAAACTATTTATCAAATATAAAAAGCAAATCAAATGATTAGTTTTTCAAAAAGTAATTGTGCAATGAAAGTTAAAAATATCAAATTTCACAAAATTTCAGAATCAAGAGTGCTTTCAAACTTTTTAGAAAAATGAAATAATTTCTATTCCTTTTCAAGTGTTACAGCATGCCCGAAAAAAAAAAAAAACGAGCGAATACTTAGCGAAATTAGGCAGCGCTACAAGCAAACTCAACTCTGAGAAAACAGATATATCAAGAAAAAAAACATTTTCTCTGAGATTTACCTGTTGGATCTAGTAACACACCACCGGCTTCCTTAACAATGATTCCAGCAGCGGCAACATCCCATGCGTGGAGACCGTATTCAACATATGCATCCAACACACCTTGAGCCACATAGACCATATTCATAGCTGCAGAGCCGAATGATCGATGTCTAAATCAGTAAGACATTGCAAAAAGCAACAAATTGTTATTTTTCAAATTCTGTACTGAGACGAAAACAGTCCTGTACCGGTTACAGATCCATTAAAATCACCATTCAAATCGCAATGATAATTAAATAAACAATGGAAGGCTGTTATATCTAAGCAAAGATTAGGCTTTAAGGTTTTTAAAAAATGAACAAACAGGTTGGACTAAACCAAAATACAGAAGTTACATACTATATCCACTCCAAAAGACCATGAAAATTATCTTTCTCGATAGGTTACAGAAAGCCTCCAGCACGATTAAAATGTAAACTCTAAGGACTTTACTAAAATATTACACTAAAATTACACTAATAAATTACGCAGTATTGTCCCTTAATGTAACGTTCATGAAAAGATGTAGAACTTGAAAAACAACTTCTAGTAGTGGTACATCTTGTAGTAGCTGTTTTATACAAAAATAAATATAAATGTAGAAATTACCCCCGTATGCCTGCAAGACATTGCCGGCTATGGTTGTCCATCGTGATTTTCAACCATTTCTCACCAAATTGGACCAAGTTATGAATTCCGTGGGACTGACCAATTAAGCATCGACTTATTTCTGCAGATATCACAACTGATAACCAGTAAGAGAGATCAACTGTGTACCCCTTATTTCAAAAAACCGAGTTAGTTCTAAAAAAACGTTCTATCACTTATAGATAAAAAATTTTTTAAAAAGCGTCACTACAAATATTTACAAGCAATTAAAATAATACTACCTTTTGTAGCAGAAACATGGATTGGAAAACCATTTCGAAAAGCTCCTCGCCCCGACTGCGCGGTATAAAGTTCTTTAGTAATTGGATTATAAACAATACCAGCACGTAACTGTTTCTTAATAGCCAGTCCTACACATATGGCAATTATTGGAATTCTGCAATTTTAATGCTAGTGAAATTTATGTCAGGATTGATACTCACTCTTTATTACGTTTCTAAAATACCAAAACTTCAAAATGAAACAGTCCTTAACCAAATGCATCTGACTATATTTAATCAGGGTATTCGTTAAAATTTATATAATATTGATTACCTATGAACAAAGTTCGTGGTGCCATCAATTGGATCAATAATCCAGGTAGGTGCATCGGTGTAGTCAATTTTTGCACCATTTGCTACAGACTCTTCGCCAATAAACCTGTGAAAATACACTTTACAGTAGTTATCTAAACATTA